CGGTTTCGTTAGCTGGTCCGACTTCCCCCGTCTTCTGGTACGTACGGGTCTTCCAGGACTAAGCATACACCCCTATCCGTTTAGGGGTGTTTATGCTACAGACGTGTCGGAAGGCCGGATTGGCAGGTTGAATTTCCTTCAATCCTCTCTGCTTCGGTCCCTTCCTCGGGGCTTGACGAGCGACATCGTCGAACTCCGTGTCATATGGGTCGGAGTCGGATGACTGGCGGCGCCACTCGTCGCCTTGGCGACGCACACGCGTCAGGGTATCCTCCGAGGATGACAGAACTGCGGTCCTGGAAGTTCGGCGATGGCGAGTCCCGCGAGGGACTCTCTTCTTCTTCGCAGCACGATCCGCTGTCGCGGCGAAGACTAACCCGTCATACTTGTGTTTTAGGCCCTCAACGGTGAGCTTCTGCTCATCAGCTCGTTTCTCGAGTCTCTGAACTTCAGATTCCAGCTTACGACAGTAAGTCGGAAGATTCGTTGTCACACGTACCCCGTTCGCTTCGGCTACGCCGGGGTCGGAGTAAATGCGTCCCTCAGCCTGTTGAAGGCGAGAAATGAGAGCATCCTCACGCAAGACGACGAATCGCGTGAGCTGGTCCCGGAGCGGCTCTTCGAGCAGCTCCCTCTGGGACTGGACTTCGATTGCCACGAAGTTTCTTATCTCAGTCCCGAGGGGGACGTCCAAAACGTTGGGCTCCCTGCTGTCAAGGGGGCTGGGTGCCGGCACTCCATCACGCAGGGTGCCTACTCCAGGGGGAGCTACTGTCTTCCCCCGGTTGGAGACATTCCCTAAGGCGGGGGAGACTGTTGGGACACACCAACTTCCCGCGTTTTTGCTCTCGTCTGCTGTTTTGGCAGCAGCGAGGTATGAGATCAGCCCTTCTCTAAAAGCCGTGAGCATCTCTCCAAGGTCAGTAGAATATCATCGCAGTTCACTGAACGCATGTTCTCGATAACATGCGTTCAGTGAACTGCGATGCTCCTGCACCTGGAGCTTCTGCCGTGACGGCAGTGTCTCGTTGAACGAGACTTGGACCATCACCGAGGATGACAGGTGGGTTGCCTGCTGGCCCAAAGGCTGCGGCAATCGCCAGAGAAGGTCTGACGGCGCCCGAGGGAGCGGCGGCTCCAGTTCGGCTGGAGCCTTTCCCTCGCGTGCTCGGAGGCATCTTCGAGTGCGATGCCGAGTTGAAGACGTTGACGAACCCTAAAGTGCGGTTCTAGGTCGGGAGACCAATGCGGTACCGCCAATCTTCCGGAATAGATCGGGGTACAGACCCCTGCCCGTCGACCCCAGTCTCTCCTGGGAGACCAGTCCCGTCGAGGGACAACGCAGTGTGAACTACAACAGCGTAGACCGGGGGCGCTGTGGTAGAGGAGGTAGAGATAGAAAGAGGAATAGAATAGGAATAGTCGTAAGGATAGCGAACCGATAGAAACATTGAAGGAATTAGGAAACGCGAACGAGGTTGGTAACATACACCCAAGATCGGACGGGACCAAACTAAGGAAGGCAACCTGGCGAGGAGGCGTACCAGAGGCTAATCGTGGTAGCTCCAGAGGTCCAAGGCTTCCGGGTAATGCTTACTTTACGAGGGGGAAGCTGGCACCGGCTGGTGGGGTAAAGAACCGCCGGTGACACTGTACTATAATTACTGTATGACTAATGTAAGGAGGGCTTACAGCCTCCACTCTAACATTGGATCAGTAAAACGGTTGGATCCAGAATCAGATCCACGACTGCCACCTGCACACATGTGACACCCCGACACGATTCCATATCCATTGTACCACACATGGTGCCACAAATCCCGCCGCAGAATCTGTCGTCATGAGTTTGATGCCGTCTTAATAGCACATCATGCAGATCCCGATCTGCACCTCTTGCCAGGTAGCGCTTGCGCTGAGTGCGGTTGCATACATCCTTTGCTTGGCGGAACACCACACTCACACAAAATAAAAAGACGCTCTGCGTCGATTTTGTGATCGGTCATGAGCCGTTCAAGCTTTGGAAAGTGTTTGGCAAGCACTTGGGCGTTGCGAGCCGCAACGCGAGGGGCCTCCAGGCTGGTTTCGAAAAGGAACGCGAGGTCTTGTGCCGAGCGCGAATGCTACGAGGCCGACCGTCACGAAAGAACGAGAACCCGACGGGGTCCAGCACAAAATTGACAACAATGGAAACAGTGTCTGCCACATGAGAATATGTCAATTCCGTTTCCGGCTCGGAAATTGTTCTGAAAAGAGATAATATTATCCGATTTTCTCCCTCACGAAGCACGGGGGACGACCGACTGGCTGATGAATTTTTTAATGAGGCTTGGAGGGTGTAATATGCAATCCCATTTCACTTTGTCGCTTTTTATTGCCAATTGCACCATCTGTAATGATAATCATGACATCTGGGTGTCGAGCGAGTGTCTTGCGTGTTAGCAGTAGTGTAACGGGATGCATGCTGGCTTGAAGTGCAGTTCAGCTAAGATCAGGCACAGAGAGGGGATCTGAAGAGGGTTGGTATCTCTTCAGAGACTAAGGTGCAGTCTGCTCATTTATCGCCGGCTTTTAGCCAGTCTGCAGGTGTTCTGGCCAGATTCCGTTATACTATCTAGATGTACACTGCTTTGCTGCTTGGAATGGAGAGATTGTTTGTTAAATCTATCTGCACGTTTTCGAGATAGACGGCTCTTGCTTAGGACGCATGACGGATTCCGGCTTGTTCAGGACGAAGAAGTCTTTGTTTGTTTTAACATTATGAGGCAAAGTAGAATGGTGGAACAATTAGGACGCTGACCGAAAATTAGGGCAAACCTCTTTAGAAGGTGCAAGCCACGTGAGATCCATCGCCTGCAATTTATGCAATATGATTGGGAGCTTCCTGATTTTGAATAAAACATTTAGATTCGGGCATCTGAGTTGGTTTTCTGATTATCTGTGGTTTTACAGTAGTCAAACAAATCATTTGATTATTTGGTTTTCATTTAATATCCCAGAAATGGTTCGGCCTGTGCTTTTCAGGGGTGATTACTCAGAGGTGACCGGCCGTTCTTGAGACGACCGTCGTATCTCGCATTTATCGTCTATGTCGGTCGCTGACCTACTGTACACGGGATTTCGAGCTTTTCTTGCTTCGGCTGGAATGGCAGCACCGTTCCATGTGAACAATTTCAATGCTCTCTGCACTGCTTTGAGGAGCCATTAATTAATGACGCAAGGCTGCGTTTGTTTCTATTGGGAGGTATGCTTTTATTCTGTGCCTCTCAAAAAAATAGCCATCATTACATGTCACGAACCACAAGCACCGCAGGTACAGTATTGGAACTTTGTGTGTGATCGGGAAATCACCAACTCGTTGAATGCCCTTCTGCAAAACGCAGTCGTCGTATATTACCCATAGCCTTGTCCAGAGCATGCATATTTACGCATGCATGCATAAATATATTCACTGTATCTGCAGCCGTGATGAGTGATGATTCCTCTGGACCTTGAAGCGAGACCACATTCAAAACACAAAACAACGCACAACTGCCACCTTTTGTACATGTGCCGACTTCAAATTATTTTCGGAGGTTTAATTCTACCGTCACAGGCAATCGCCATGCATACAGAAAACATGAGGTTACAACAGCAACCAGACAGCAGCAACTACGGACAACAGGGCTTTACTGTATGATGTCACTCTACGAACTTCTACTCCTACATTGGGATTGAACAAGAAAAATATACAGCTGTGCAGTAATGTAGGAGTGGGAGTGATAGCGAACGGAAACTTAGAATCACCACAACGCCATAGGACTGTACACAATGAGAGGGCCTCCTAATGCTTCAAACCGGGCACTTCGTGGTAGAGCGTGATGGCTCCGGTCTTTTTTGTTACCAACATGCCTGCTACCCCGTTGCCAAAGTGCGTTGGCAGATTACCTCCAAATGGTGTTTCAGACGCTTTCCGACGCATTGGGATTGGTGGAGGAAAATTTTATTCATTAGCACAACGCTCTCGGGACCCAAAGAGAGTTGCTAAATGCTCCCACAGAATGGAAAATGACAATCTAAGACAGGCTATCCCTCCCTGGGATGGGCTTTGCGGGTATGACAATATATGTATGGTTGCTCGCTCGATTTATCCCTTTCTCTCGCGTATTTTCTGACTAACAACAAGTTCTCTTGAACCAGACTTGAGTTGAGGCGCGGGTAACAAGGCCTTTCGCGACACCTGGACGATATCTACTCATTGCTATTCGAAACCCACTTTAGTGGCCCAACAGCTCGAATCGTTGCTATGCGGTCCCTCAGATGATGATGCCTAAAGCTAGTCATTGCGAAGGACAAGGTCCCATTGTCTATATGAACCGTAGGAACATGTTCTGCGCGTTACACCATGATTACGACTTCCCACATTGCACAAGTTCGCACGAGCCATCTCCATCCATCTACTCTAGTTCGGTCTTTCTCATCGACAAAAGATTGTTAGTCTCCTCCACTTAGAACTCCAAGGCCCCCACTATCATTCTGTCACGATGGACGTCGTCCAACTGAAAGAGAAAAGGGAAGCTCAAGAAGTTGCCGAATCTGAATTTCAGCAGGTGAAGAGAAGGAAATTAGAAACCGAAAGAAACAGTTGGAAGCCCATGCCCAGCGGCTCAAAAGAAGTGAAGCAGAAAGAGCGAGGGGCGGCAAACAGAGCGTCCGCAGCGGCCAGTAGAGCAAAGATGCTCTGTTTTAACAAGGAACTCGGGGTGCGCATCGACAAGTTGGAGCGACAACGGAATGAGGCGACATTGCAAGCACAACGAATCTCGCGAAGAAACAGCACGCTGACCAAGGAGTTATCCATGATGAAACAACTTCTAACAGACATCTGGCAAATGAAGGAGCATAAGACTTGCTCGTATCTTATGGATTCAAATGCCTTGTTCCTATTGCAACCCTCACATGACAACACTGAGGGCGTCTCATCATACTCTGAGGACAGTTCTAGACACGTTGAGGCAGCACGCATGTACGACTATAAGGCCTCTCCTGCACAAGAATCGATAATTCGTCATTCTGAGTCTTCATCAGCAAAGGCCATCCCAAGCTCACACCCTGATGCCAGGCAACGAAGCCCGAGATCTGTTGTCTTAAAGACTCCACCTTCTCCACTGGTGCCACGATCGTCCCCAGTTCGCAACTCGATGTCGGTTAGAAGCCTTGTGCATCCTTCAAATTCAGATGGCATTCTTCATGGTGATACACGAGCTTTTGGATGCTTGCCTCCTTAAACCTCAAAATTCGCACACTATTAATGCAGCACACAGATATTGAATCACCGTAAAGCAGGGTATATCCATACATTTTCTAGGAATAAAGTTTCTCACGAACGAATGGGAACCTCTTTTTCATACAAACTGCGTTGGGTGTTACCCGGTGTGGTTCTCTCAAGAAAGGAAGGAGTGAAATACATTCCTTTTCACGCACCAATATCCTCTAGAGAAGTATCTTACCATCAGGCATGCATCCCAATTTCTAAACGCGTAGTCACGAGACGAATGAATTTCATAGGCCACTGGGCCTTCTCTCTTTGCTTGTACTTCTCTGAATTTTGAAGCATTTGCCACGTCCACAATTACGATGGGGACGCGAACGCCCCTCGTGAGAAGTGGAATAACGACTGTTGCTGATGTGCACTTAATAGCGCAGTGGTGTTTACTGTACAAATTACACGACGACTTACTATACTTGAGCTTTCGTCCAGGACAATCACCATCATGGCAGTCGGCCACATGCATGTTTGCCCAAAATCCGACGGTTATTGACAATTTATCGATTCTTCCATGACTGCCTTCTCAAAAACAAGCGCAGTCTTGTACGCGGCTGGTTTTTTGACTCGGCGAGTTCCGGTGTAGGCACAGTTTCCGCGAGCTGGCTCTCATCCTGGTTCGACGAATTATTAATGACTCGTTTGGCTTCGGCAATATAGGTGCGCAATTGAGCGTCAGCCTGCCATCGATTCTGTAACTGATTAAGTATATGTGAGACGATCTCTACATGTCCTCCGAAAGATAAACCGCGAAGCCCCCTCAATATTGCATGCAAGAAGAGTAGCGCCTCGGCGGCAATCCTTCTATCCATTGAAAATCGTTCTAGTATTGTTCTTGTTACCTCGAAAATTTTCGCCATTTGTAGTGCGCCACAGACGTCTTGACCAAGGGATGACATGCTCCTGAAGCATTCAAAACCAGCAACCATCAATGCGGCGTCAGAAAGATTAGTCTCACCAGCACTTCGCTGCGCACAAGCTCCGACTCCTTGCACGATCTCCTCTCCTGCATAGCTCGAAAGGAATACACTTCTTGCAAGGGGTTGCTTGACGGAAGGAACTACTGCCAAGGCAGACACAACGTCGCAGGCCACTTTTAGCTTTTGACTGGCATCAACCCCCTCACGTATTCTGACTATCAGCGGGTACAGAATTGTCATGCTTCCTGTGGTTGATAAAATCTTGCTCTGACCAGCCGGATGTCTCGTGAAAGAGAAAAGTATTCCGAGTACATGTCGATCGATTCGTTCGTCTTTAAATATGTCACAGCACTCAAGTACTTTTCGCACTGCCTCATGCTCAGCGAGTATTTCCACGCCCGATGCAGACTGCGCTATAAGGCCGATCACCTCCAGGCCTGCCGATGCCACAGGCACATCCCGACCAAACGATTTTGAGCCTCGAGCCAACACACGGAGAGCACAATCTGCTCCTCCAAGATTAAGAAGAATAGAGCACAATACGGGAGACACGCGACACAATATGTTAATTGCACAGGCCGCGTTTTGAACGACAGGTAGATTTGCGGGATGCCATTGTATTGAATTGAGCACGATTTCGCAAGATCCCGTAGTCCTCAGCTCACTCTCTGCCTTGACACTTTGACAAGCAGCCATGCGGTATACTATGAGGCAAGCCGTTTTGCACAGTCGACTATCCGTACTGCCATAGCGAGAAACGATACCTGTGACACGACGCATAGCGCGGCGCTCTGTGATATACTCGCAGTTGTCCTTGTCGTTTTCAAGCAGCACACAGAGGGCCTCTAAGATTCGTGTGGCATTGTAGGGATGTCGTTCGTTCTCTTCTAATGCCTTGCAAAGAGCTGCGCAATCATTGTTCATCACTTGTGTTTTGAAAGCGTAGTTGAGACTTCGAACTGAGTCCGGGACCGTTAAATCAGTGCTCACGCTTGATTCGACTTGCCGCTGGAACTCATCTCTTTGCTCTATAGGTCTCGCTATGTCTGTTTGTCCGCCAAGAGTATCTTCTCGTTCTTCAACTGAGGCATCCAAGACTGTTTCAGAAGGAACGATCTGAAGGTCGTTAAACGCTTCGCTGGTATCAATTGAGCTCTGAATGAGAGTTGGAACAGAATGGGAATGATGTTCGTATGTGCCAATTGCGCTGGGGTCTGTAGCGGAGACTTGATTTGTCGATGCTTCCTGTACTGATTCCTTTGGGAGAGCGATGGCGCTGCTATCAAGAGACAAGGCAGCCAAATCAGGGGGAAATGCAGACGCAATTTTCTGGTCGTGAAACCCGGAAGAGTGCCCACCGCCCGCGGAGCGCGCTGCAATTTGCGGTTGTTGCATGCTAGCTTGGCCTTCATCGTACATGACGGGTTGATGAGTGGACGACCGCCGCCCTCCGGCCGCTTCAACTGCTTGAGATGCCCCCATAGCAGCTGCGCCGTTCCGGGCGGAGGCTGGCCACGGCTTCAACGCGTGGGTCGCAGGACGCTTAGCAATGAGTGCAATAGCGTTGTTATCCCGTTTACGACTGTGCTCCGGCGGCTTTTTTTGGACATGTCCTTTTGTTAAATATTTTGTTGTCTTTGAGTCCATTTGTGGTCCTTTCTGGATGCTCACGTGTTCGCGAATCGTTGGGGCTGACTTGCTGCCGCGCTCGGCCTCGCTACCTTCGTCCGGCGCGCTCCGACGTTCAGAGACGGGCGAAGTTGGTGATGGGAAATCTACCCCATCCGTTGTTTCCGGACTTCCTTCCGTCACAGCTGCATCCCCTTGTGCGCCACTAGAACGGGCCGTGACTGAGAGCAACGCGTCCCCCATCGTGGTATCAATGCTGTGCGTATATCCCTGCTCTTCTCGCAGGCTGAGAAGTTTCTCTGCGACTTGCTGCGACGACGGCCTCGTGTGATGGTTTTGTACCCAGCTTTGCTCTACGACAGCCCGTAAGCCCGGGATACGCTCGGGTCTATTCGGCCATACCGGCCGCTGTCCTTGATTACAGACGGCAACATAAATGCCCCACTCGGATAAATCATTCCATGGGACCGTCCCTGTCTCAAGTTCATAGAGTAACATCGCCAGCGCATAGACATCCGCTTTTTCTGCGACGTTGCGATCCCTCAGAGCCCTTGATCCACACCACGCCTCCGGAGACAGGAATGCAGGTGTTCCCCGGGCGTCCGGCTCAAGAAACCAGGCACCCTCACCACCATCTTCGACACGGCCGGGGGCAGAAAATCGTGAGCTGACTGATTCATCGTTATCCTCGTCATCCGAGGAATCAGTCACCTGCGAACTGAAAGATCTCGACAACTGGAAGCCTACAAGCTTGATGTTGACAGTCTCCGGTGCAACGGGCGCACTAGCTGACAGCGGTTGTGAGAAGAGAACGCTTGCAGATTTGAGATCGCCGTGTGTGAAGCCAAGTCTGTGGAGTTCTGCGAGGGTTATGGCGACATTATGAGCGATGCGAAGCGAAGACGCTGGATCAAGTGTACCATGTTTTCTAAAAGCGTCTTGTAAGCTACCGCCCCACATTCGTTCCGTCGCGAAAAGCTTTGTGTCGGATGTCGGGGGAGCTACGCCGAAAAACGCAGCAACACCCCCCACATTCCGCAAGGCAGCATAGCGACGTGCTTCTCGTTGAAATTGACGCTCAGCGACAGCTCCGTGCCTCGATGGTGCTTCTTGGAGTGAACGAGTACTGGAAGAGAGATCCGGTGGTTGATCGAGAATTTTCGCGGCGACCGGGCAGGCGGAGTCCAACATGGCTGCGTACACAATGCCACAGGTGCCGCGTGCAAGCTCCTGAGGCGTACCGTCAGGGTTCAAGGAGAGGGAAATGCGGGAGGGGTCGAGGTAAGGAGGACGGTTGGGTCGAGGGGAAAGCGGCAATGTCGTAGTTGTTGCCGAGGCGAACGCCATTGGTAGGCACGGTAGGGATCGCCAGAGCGGAATAGATACAGTGGAGCGGAGTGGTGCTGGTTGTACCTGCAGGGAATGAGACAGATGTCGGAAGCGCGAGAGGATGTTTGACCGGCAAGGAGGGGGAATGGAGGAGGCGGAGAAATTCAGGGAGAGGGACACGGAGGAAAGGTTAGAAGCGGCGCTGGCAAGGCGGTAGGGGGTGCGGTGAGGTAGCCAAGTGTACCCCTCGTGAGGGAGTGTCTCACGAATGATAGTAGTACGTTATGCTACGGTATGTGGAATTATGAGCGCTTGCCTGTAAAACAGCAACACTGTAGAATTATAGCGCTTGCTTCGACCATGAGCTCACCGCAATGAGAGTAATGACTGCTTCTCATACGGTGACCGCTTCGGCCACTGGCGTGGGGCGCCGGTCGTCGCCGGCAACGATAAACGGCATTGAGGTGGCGATCTGTTTCTTCCTGGCGCACGGGTGAAAATGGGGGCGCGATTGCATGCGGCCAGGTTTCGACTTCATTGCACACGTGCCGCGGGGGGGGCGTGCTCGGTGACGCGTTGGAGAAAATGCGGGCGTACCAACACGACTGAACAAGCTGGAGAGTGCCTCGCGGCTCGCGGCTCCGCCAGTCATACCTAATCAAGTTTGAGCCCCTTCGCGTCTCGATTCGGACCAACCAGTCCCTCCTCGCTCCCGGGCGGTGAATCATATCGGCGCCCTCTCTCGCCTTCATTTATGTATGCCTCGGTGTTGCGCTGCGAGCAGCAGGGACGCCAGCCATGCTTGACACCTCTTTCTCCAGCCGCCTCGGCCCCGCTCCGTATATTCCACCTCCCGGCCTCCATTCTCGTGTTCCAACGGCATCTATACTACAGTAAACCACACACCGCTTTGCTCGTCAGCTACTGCTGTCACTGTCGCACCGCCGTCCACAGTAGCTTCCTTCCCAGAGAAGCGGGACCCTCCTCTGATGCTCAGTACTACAGTGGCGTAGCCAAAAGTTGCGCAAGGCACAGAAACTCACTCTGCGCCAAGCCTCTACTCGCGCGAAGAACGATCAAACACGCCCATTGCTGTATGCAGGTGCCCATAGGACATACGGAGAACTTCACTGAAATCGCGCTGTTGTACATCGTGACGCTTGGTTCCAAGTGGAACGGTGGTACCAACGGTACCGTATTTACACGTCCAAAACCTCCATACAAATGATACATATTCAATCTCAGTTTTTTAATTCGCAACTAGTTTGCGACCATCGGCACAGTTAACCGACCTATTACTTTGCTTCTTCTTTAGCATTTCAATACAGCGGTCAGAACGGACCTACTCGACATGCAGGACTCTGCGATACTAGATTTTTGTTTCTGATGTGTGTGCGTTTCTGTACAGCGAGCATACCCTAGTAGTCCCGAGTCTCGTTCTTTTCGGAGAAAATAGTCGACTCGTGGCCAGCCTTTTGGACGACAGCCTCCTACTTGTTCTCCCCGCCCGACATGCATTCAGCTCACTGTTCTCCTGCACCATGCGCCTGCACCATGCGAATTCGCCTCTTCTCCCGGGCCTACAGTTCTCAATGTTATAATTTCAGTAGCCCCCCTCTGCAATAAAATGTGTGCACGAAGGGGTTGTCGTCTCTGTCGACAGATGCCACAAAGTCGTGCTTCTCGTTGCTTTGCTTCTTGATATCTGGAATGTATTTGTGACAGGTACAGTGTAGAGGTTTACTGTACAATACATGTATGAACTAATTAATATTATTAACCAATGGTTTTGTCAACTGCGATAGCAACAAGTGAATTTAAACGTGGCTTCACTATTCGGAGACTGGTAAAGGGGCTCGGCATTTCCACGAGTCTCAGCAGAACGGCTGCCGAGTCATTTGGCCTGGAAGAGTGAAGAGTGAAAAGTTAATTTGCACGTAGAATTCAAGAGGTACCCTTGGTACTCTCGAGTACATGATACAATAGCCAAGCCCCTAATGTTGCTGTCAACAGTACAGCACTCTCAAATTCACCACCTTCTCAATATATTAAAGCAACGCTCGAAGGGTTCATCTCTTAACTTAAGAGTAAGGTAAGGCCGTCCTGGTCGTCCCGCACAACCCGCCCACATGGATGTAGAGCTCACCAATGATACCTTTCCAGAGTTTTCTTCAAGTCCACGTTTGGGCTTTCATTCATTCCCAAGCAAGTCCACGTTTGGGCTTGCTTGGGAATGAATGAAAGGAACGACTGATGACGTGGGGTATTCACTTTTTGACAGAAAAGCGGAAATGCCATACTGTCAACGAACAGAATACATAATCCACAGACAATCGGGCAACTCGCAGAATCTATACCGTACTTCTGCGGACCGTTGGCGTGATTGCCAAGGGCACCATTCCATCTTGCAGCCCAAAGAACAGCAGAGCATGTCAATTGTCAATGGCACTGAGGACAAGCCTTGTCTTTCTTCACAAGCCTTGTCGGACAAGACAAGTCTTGTGAAGAAACTCCATGAGCCTACCCTCGTCGGACAATCCAACTTTGAAGCTCTTGCGTTGCCTGCGTCATTTCAGAAACATCCGTTCGTCTTGACTACCCTTCGAAGGGCAAGTTCCAACCATCGCAGTCTCATCATGAGACTCCATCATGAGACTCCGCGTTGCTTCTGCCGTTTTAACTTGGGCCGCAGAAGCTACCCTTGAAGGGTACCACTTGACTGATTGGGCTGGGCTGTGCAGTCTGCATTGCGGCAAACGAGAAGCACTGTTTTATGTGTGCTGTAATTCAGCCCCGGGGCCGTTCCACTTCTCCGACAAATGAAATATGTTCTCCTTGCTTCCAGCTACCCAAGGGTACCCTCCGAAGGGTAGAGCGCAAATTTTGCACATTTGCAAAACTACTTTCCCCTTTCGCCATTGGACGCGAAGCCTCGTTTGACAAGATTGCCGTGGGCCGGCAAATTGCGGTATATACCATCGTTCGCAATTGTCCGTGTAGGGTACACCAACTGTAACTTTGAATACCTGTACCGTACTTGTCGAAGGCCTATAGGAAATGTGCAACTCCTCTCCTGCCCCAACCAACGAGGAAAGAACGGGACTATGGGTCCCATCTTGAGTTTGCCCATCTTGTCGCACAGTCACCGTTATGGGACAATAAAATCCATGCTTCAGCGACATGGATAGTCTGCGCCAAAAATGTACTAGGCAGTACATTTTCTGTCAACAGCCTGTGTTAGCAAATTCTCGCGAGATGTCGCGGCGGTGCTGCAACTTGCGCGCCCCCATCCAACGGTTCAAACTTTGAACCGTACGGTATGCTCTCCTGCTCATGGACACCGTCAGGTCACGACTTTCACCACAAACCCTCGTCGCAGCCCGCCGGGCCTGCTCATTATCCGCAGGGACGTCGCATCTGGTTGTCCGAAAAATATGTCCTCGCAGATCAGCGAATGCCTTACTTTGACACACATCCAGGAAATTGTAATCCAAGGTGCTGTGCGCTACCCTTCGAAGGGTATTATACAAATTATACCGAACGGTACCGGTACAGTACCCTTCGAAGGGTACCTGCGCTTGGTTCTGGTTGTGGTAAAAGGGAGTGCCCCCTGGCCAGAAGACAGGCGGAGTGGGATGTGTACCGTAGTATGTACTGTAGCGATATCGAACAGAGCTGTAACGAAAGGAACGTACGGGAAGATCGTAGAAAGGATGAGCGTTAGCGATATCCAACACTGGTCACCTGGAATTCGCACAGATAATATTTCGTGCTGAACGCTACGATTCCTTTCACGGTCTGCAGGCTGCGAAGGTCTAGTCCGGAAGGGAGCCCTTGTATTAATGTACACGCACAATTCAAGTCAGCTGCCGTCTCCCCACATCATTATTGCCAGAAAATGCAATTTGGGTCTGGAGTAAACGTATGGCGTGTGCAGATGTGTCCAGTGCACACATCTGCACACGCCATGGCCATGGAACGCGACTGCGTGTGCACACTGTGCACACGCAGTCGCGTTCCAGTCCAACGTCGTACGCCACGTGCCTAAAGTTAGCTTCTGTCACTGTCCAGGATCATAAACTGGCCGCTTCGCTGACAAATTAACATGGCATTCATTCAGATGGGGATCGCACTAGAACCAAAATGCAGTTTCTAAAAGCCTGCCAGCTTCATTCGCGGAAGGTCAAGTCCAGCCGTACAGCCTGTACTGCCGTCGTTACAAAAAAAGTTGCGTGTGTTCAGTGCCCAAAGATTTGCTGTTGTCTTGTAAATGGGTGACGGTGGAAGTGTAATTTTGTCTTTCGGAGCTAAGCTGTGCCACTGCAAACTTGGACGATCAATGTCGTGATCGGGCTACTGCTTCGCACACTGCATTGTTCTTATAGAACAACCACAGGCCGCACACTGTCACTAATGTAAGATGACGCTTTTGACATGACTACTCTTTCATCGTTTTTCGCTCGGCATTGGAAAATAGAGATTGGACTGACCATGCCAGGCACCCCCCGTAATACTGTAGAAAGGACACTTGCCGCCATTCTGGGCCTGTTCACGAAGGACGTTTGGGGAAGGTGAGTGATAACCAACCCCTGCTATGAGTATGTAACAGTAGTGCCCTTCACATACGAAATAGTACACGATTTCCAGGATATTTTTCGTACCTCTCTGCCAACAGCGTTCATATCAGTCTATCACATCAGTCAGAAAAAAGAAAGAAGAGATGAGCAACTCAGCAGCAGGTATTGAGTACAGCCGCTAAGAACAAGCGCAAGACGAGAAGTCCACTGTACGGGAAAGTCTTTGTCGATCCTAGAGGCGATGTGGATACCTACGCCGCTCTCGCGTTTGTAAGTATGCGCGAAAACGCAATTTGTCGGCTGCTTCCAGGTGCATTCTCAATCGAATAAAAAACTTCTTCCTAGGGGAAATCAGGTACTTTATAGTACCGTACATGTTGAGCCAGGAAACGCAGTTTTGGCTATCGCTCGAGGGGAAGTGTTAGAATTGAAGAGCTACGGCTCCGAGCCAGATGCCTTTGAGCGAACTGAACTGCTCTTCCATTTGCCACAAAGCTATTACAATTGAAAGGAGGATAGGTATCAAGTTCGCCGTAGGGTTACCATTCTGTGCGTAAGAGAGCTGTGCACGGCTCGGTGTCGTTGACCTCGGACGAGTTTCCCTTCCCTCCCCATTATTCATTCTGCGAGGGCCGCATGGGGTTACTGCGCCACTGATTGAAAAAAAGGTTCTCCAGCGTTGTTGCAAATTTCGAAAACACAATGGATCGTGAAGTTCTTCAATCACACAATTAAGAACCTTCTCTTCGGAGGCTATTTTCTGTCTATGAGTAACAAGACGTATGCTCGCTGCTTCCACCACATCGATCTCAAGCACGTAGTCCTCCTTCGCTGTCTTTGCCCAGACGCAGATCCTTTGAAACGAACACAAAATACCCTTCAATGGCTATTTCCTTCTACCCGTAAGGTGTCCGGGAGAGCACCGCCTTTATCTATCCATTTGTTCTCTACCGTATAAGCCCCGAGTCCGCTAAAAGCGTCGCTACGAGTGGGTAACCCTTTGCTCGTACTGTGTTGCAAGTGCACCCGCAAGGGTCGCCCGCTCACTGCCCTCATGTGTAGGGAGCAAGGGCTAGACATCGCGCATCAGCAAGGTAATAATTCCGCCTTGGCGGCTGGGCAGTTGAGAAACCAACATTATGCGTCACCGATTTTGACTAGGAGCTACATGTGTTACCCTACCTGCCTTCGTAATCATTCCGCACATGTGACGTTTAAACAATTGTTCGTGCCACGGGAACGCTAGCCTAACCTTTGCAGCGGGCTCTTCTAGTTTTTGTATACTTGAGACGCTTCGTACTCGTGGAACTAGGGTCAGCATGAATTGCCCCCGTGACCAAGGCGGCTTCTCCTCTCAATACTCGCATCACTTCACGTCTCTGTAGTATGGAAAGCTTGTGATCTTGACGAATTTAAACGCTGAAATGTTCCGCACGAAGTTACAGTAACCCTTAGTAAGCCCATAAGTTTTATGTGTACAGGTACGCACCATTAGGGGACTATGCAATAAAAACTACAGGCGGCATCACTTTGGCAATAGGTCGCCATTGGTGTAGTAGTGCAGCAGCCCTGTCGCCCATGCTAGAAATACAGGCTGCATCTTTTCTGCTCACATGCCAACTCTGCGCTTCTCAAATAAATAAAGTTGTTGTAGACACGGGGGACACGAAAAGAGCCTCGTAGTTAGCTACCGCACAGGGACGTTATACACTAGCCTCCCTGAAACAAAATGCCCAACCGATTTCGTGCTCATAAGTTCGCACTTCCAAGCGCCCCATATACCTACCTGTAATAGATTTATTATTCTAAGCTATAGGGGGGGGGGGGGGGTCGCGATATAGTGCTACCCTGTGTCAGTGGGCCGAAAACGGCACTATATCGAACCAGGCACTGTTAGACAATGAGATTTACGGCTTTTTTGCAACCTCTTCCTTGCATCACTGCTCAGAAAGACCGCTCGCAGGACGCCATCACTCATGCTTTGTATCTTCACTACAGACTCAAGTCTAATCAAACATTTCTGTTAGTAGTAGTTGCCGAGCCGTTGCAATGACTTCCTCCTTTTTCGCAGCCATAAATGCCAGCCTACACTTTTGCAGATGTCCAATTGCATCATCGACCCGGCTTTTTTTCGCCATAGTCTCTATTCGAGTTGGCAACTGCATAATATCTTTCCGCGGCGGCAGCGGCTCTCGGGCAGTACCCCATGTCCATCCAACTGCCTCCCTGGAGACCCTTCGTTTTTGGCTCAAAATTCGTGCCACCCGCAGAAGGGTAGCACTATATCGGAGCTGGCACTAACAAATATGGCACTATATCGCGACCCCCCCCTGTATTCCTTTTTATATATATTCATGCAACGAATAGGAGATTGTTATACTGACCGTTATAAGGAAATGGATGAAATCGCTGGGAATCGCACTTGTCGAAATACGGCTGTGAAAACAGTTAGAGGCTAAAGCTTAGATATGCCGACATGAGTTCGATAGCACCCATCCTCGCAGTCTTGGGACTGCCCTATATCCGAGCGTCCTAGCGCAATCGAGCTAATACTGTAGAAAAATGCCGTGGTCTGGAAACGCTTTGACTACCACTACAAGCGGTTTAGAGCTAATGCCGTTTCAAGAACATGCGCAACCTGAAAATGAAAATTTTATGACATGCCGGCATGTGTAATACGTGTCACCACACCTACCAGGAGTGCTCTGTACACGACGTCAGGTGTGAGCGCAAAGGTCGATCTCCCACCCACCCTATGTCAAGTGCTCACTCCGTCGTAGCACCGCTTTCGTCCGCAACGCTTCCTTGTCTCAACCATCATCGAATCCTTGCATGGTGGACTAACACTGGAGAGTTGGGCGAGTATTTCTCAGCTCAATCACACTACTCACTCTTTTTGCCCCCCCATTTTGCCATTCCGCCTCCCACTTTCATCGCTATCACAATTGACACCCGGTCTTTGCAGTCCTTGTAGCAACCTCCTCCCTCCCAAAGACTGCTCGCCATGAGCTCTGCTTTTATGCTGGCCATTCCGGCATGCGTCCAGCCCACATATGCCCCCCTGTCCCCTCTTTTCAGCCGCCCCCACCGTAGAAGGGCACCGCCATCTTCGCGATCGCTCCGCGCATGTGTGGAGCGGCCTCCCGGTCAAGGGTCCTCATCCTCAGCGCTCCTAGAGCCGCATCTCCCGGATTCACGTCCCGCACGCGGCTATGAGGACGTTTTGGATTGCGTTCTCAAGGTTTTTTGTACTCATTGCGAACCGAACTACGAGTTACCCTGGGCCATGACATCGCAGCGACAATCAACTTCTTCGGCCTTCGTCATTCAGGGACGTCGCATTCTGACAAACGCACACTCCGTCGAACATTACACTTCAGTCGCAGTAAAAAAACGATACAGTGACACAAAGTACCCAGCAAAAGTTGTCGCCATCGGCAATGAGTGCGATATAGCTCAATTGCACGTTGAAAGCGAGGAATTCTGGGAAGATTTAGAAGATCAAGTCGGCATGAATGATACAAAACGTGCCTTCCTTCAACCCGGCCCTTTGCCGCAGCTCCAAGATTCAGTTCTTGTTATAGGCTATCCAAGCCCCGGGAATCAAATCAGCGTGACAGCCGGTGTCTCCAGCCGTGTCGAAATGCAAAACTATGTGCATGGCCAAGGAGACCTACTTGCAGTACAAATTGACGCGGCGGTAAGTCTATCCGTTTCCATAGTACTTGATTTTTCAATGAGTTATTGTTTGGCTTTCATACTAATGCCTTTCTATTTCCTTTGGGGACCATTTTGGATGTTTGCGAATATCATGTTTCATGTTTCCGTCTTGTTTGTGCCTGTGATGGTACTAATTTGCTTCAACCAGATTAATCCAGGAAACAGTGGCGGTCCGGTGATAAATGAAAACCATGAGGTTGTAGGTGCGTGTCCCAAATCTTTCGAACCGTCGAAACGCGATGGCTCGGTCGCGTCAAGTGTACATAATCATCCTGACTGACACGCGATGGGTTTTGTTCGGCTATTCAGGAATTGCTTTTCAAAGCGTGGACCCCTCTCAAGCTGATTCCGTGGGCTACTTCATTCCATACTGCGTAGTGCAGCATTTTCTCGACGACATAGCCTGTCACGGTCAGTATACGGGGTTCCCATTTTGCGGATTTCGCTGGCAAAGAATGGAAAACCATCATTTGAGGAGGTCTCTTGGAATGGCCAAGGATCAGTCTGGCATTTTGGTCAAGTGGGTTGCGGAGACTTGCGATGCTAATCGGGTGTTACAAAAGGGAGATATTGTGACTCATGTGGATGGAATCTCCGTTTCGAACGCTGGGACAGTCCCATTTCGCTCTGGGGAACGCATCAGTTTGAATTTTATGGTCACCAGCAAATTTACGAGTGATTCTCTTGGAGTCACATTTTACAGGAATGGGAAACGGCGAAAAGGATCTTATCGACTGTCTGGGATGGGGCACCATCGGCTTGTGAAGGTGCATGATGCGCAACACCTCTTCCGTCGCCAACCTGAATATTTACTCTGCGGTGGATTGCTCTTCCAAGTGCTGAGCGAACCGTTCTTGAGAACCGTCTATGGGCAAAACTGGGAACTAGAAGCCCCCGTCCGATTGATAGAGGAGTACCACCGCGGTGTCTGCACGAAAGAGGGTCGGTCGGAAGTTGTCGTCCTTGCTGAAATTCTTGCTGCACGCACTACATCTGGGTATGAAGAGGAGGAAGGGAATGATGCGGCTATTCTGAAGCATCTGAATGGGGAATCTGTTCACAGCCTGGTACATTTGGCGCATCTCATTGACGCTTGTTCCGATTCGATGGAGTTTTTGCGATTTACGCTCGATGATGATACGCTTATTGTAATTGATAGAAAGGCGGCTGAAGAAGATGAGCAAGACATGCTCGCAATGCACTGCATTCCTGCAACGCGCTCCATCGGCAAAGAACAAACGAAGACCTCTAAACCATAAACGCTGTACGCAAATTGGGCAGGCATACGATGCGGAAGCTGCCACACTACGGTAAAAGGACAAAAACGCTCCGAACTGCGCGCATGTGCTCATTCCAAGCGAGCCTACGACGCTGAGCAAGGCCGTTTTGGCTGGTTAGTTTTTGCGTTGAAGTTGCGGTCGGGGGAATTGGTCCGCCTTAGTCGACCAACAGATTTCTCATCTGACTATGATCGTGTGATTACGTCAATTAGCATTCCCTCCTCAAGTTCGAGAGTGTCTGGGGTGTCGCTTTCCTCAACTTGTTCACCATCAAACTGCATGACGGCGTTTGGCAGATTCAAGTCAAATTTTTTGCAGAATGGTCCAAGCATTTTCAGCACAGGATCTGACCTACGTATTCTCATCTTGATCTGGTTTTGACCGGAACGGACCTTGAGTTGCACAGGCGCGGCAGTTTGAGCTGCCTTCAGCCTTGCTTCCTCGGCTTGCTTGCGCACTCTCTCAGACTCCTGCCGTTGCTTTTCCTGACAGCGGCTGCGCTCCACGCGCTCTGATTGTTCCTTAGCGAGCCTCTGAACATCTGCGGCAATCTTTTCTTCATTTGCTTGCGTGGCCAGCACGGCGCGCGCCTGAGCAAGTGAGGCGGCGACTGACTTGTCGTGCGCGTCCATATTGGTTTCATCGTTATGAGACTCGACGACGACCACTTCATCGCTCTCCTCACCCGAAGATATATCAAAAACGGAGCGGTTCTTCTGCTTGGTACCATGCGCCGCGTTTTTCGCGGTGGCCTGCTTTTGTGACGCGGTGGTGTTGGCGGAGGTGCGTGCGCGTTTAGATGGCCTGCCTCTGCGCCTGGGTTTGGTGAATGCGTCGAGATTGAGAGCGATGTCGTCGTCGTCGTCATCGTCGTCGTCAGCGTCCAGGTCGGTGACTTGGGGAGCGGTGGCGAAGGCTGAGGAATACATGGAAATGGGCTTGGGGATGCCGCCCTGCATGAAGATGTCCTCGTCGTCGCTGGAGCTGTTGTTTTCACATGTCATCTCGTTCTTCATGGCGTCGTATGTAGTGATGGGACGAGGGGAAGTGGCTTGTATGAAGATGTAGCTTAGAATCTGAAATCTGAGGGCGAGGAGTTGCGCTGTGCTTGTTTCTGGGGCTATTTTGTAAGGAAGTGGAGGTCTTTTATGTGTCACGGGATTTGTGGGGGGGTTGGTTTTTATGATTTTGAAATGCAGCTGTTGCTCTCTGGAGCTGGCACCTGGCTACCACGTGTTTCTGTGGCCTCCAACAACGACACGGTTTGCAGTCAAATTCCTGTCTTCTGTACGTTCTTCGGTCATTGCCGGCAACGGCAATGGCGAGAAAGTTTCTCGCCATGACGTCGTCCTCTCGCGATGTCACTCTGTCTCCCTTAATATCTTAGCTGCGCTCGTTTTGCACGGTATGCAGCTTATAGGGCCACCAAGGAATCCTTGCATCCAAGCCGACAGCCTCCATCACCTCAGCGTCATCATCCAAGGCTTGACTCCACCGCAACCCCCTTAATCTTTCCGACCCCCACGCGAACAAAATCCAGGCGGGCCAACCCTGCGCGTATACACCGACAGATCAAGGCAAGAGTGCATTCTTTTTCCTGGCACGTCATGCGTCATGCAAAAACGCGTCCGCGCCAAGTCACCGCCTCCTGTGTCGGCCCCGGGACGGCCCCATCACCGAAGATATCGGCGATCTGCCTCTCGAAGTCTGCGGTATCCAAGAGGGGGGCTGCGCGCTGGAGGCGGTGGACGGCTTTCTGCAGGCCGTCCTTATGCGCAGAGACGGTGCCATCATACCACTCGCTCATGGGGTAAGCCCTGACGAGTGCGCTGACGTCCACTGGCCACGACCGGAGTGCGGCGCCGTACCGTGCCAACCGGGCGAGCACTGCGTGCAGCCTGACGAACGGTTTTTCGCGCTGTCCGACGATGGCAACATCAAAATGCTTCAAGCACGGGCCGCGGGCGCGAAGCAGCACGTCTAGCTGCGGCAGCTCGATGCTGACGTTGAACAGCGACAACTCTTCGAGGTTGCGCGCGTGGCGCGCGAGGCCCTCCAGCACGCCGTCGCCGCACGCGGCGTACGCAGTGCTGGGGCCGATGGCAAACATCGAGGTCGACTCCGCCGCGCGGTTGTCGGCCCACCGTACGGCCAGGCGCGTCAGCGCTGGCAGCGCGCGCACGGCGTCGACGAGAGCCGCGTCGTCGCTCGCGCGCACGTGGATATCTAGCGCAGCGATGTTCGGGCACGCGCGAAGGCCGCGCAGCTGCGCTGCCGTGAGGATTTCCTGGGTGGTTAGATGGGTTACGCGGTGGGCCAGCAGCTTGGCCAGCGCGAAGGCGGCGAGCGACGGGGCGTCCGGGCGGTCACAGGCCCAGAGCAGGCGGGACTTGACACGCACATCGTCCAGGCGGCGCAGCAGCGGCAGCGCGGTGGCCGGCGCGTCCGAGTGCAGCGTCAGCTGGCGCAGATGAGGGAGGCGCGGTAGCAGCGGCCACACAGGGTCCGTGTAGCGCCCGTGCGTGTGCTGGCTCAGGGCGCAGCTCAGGGACAGGGCGACGAGATGCGGGCACGCCGGCGGTAGCGCCTGCAGCAGCGGCGAGGGGTTGGCCGCGTCGAACGGGCACTCCGACGCGAAGCGGGTGTTGCTGCACAGGTGCAGCTCGCGCAGGCGCAACGTGCGCAACGCCCGCAGCAGAAGGGCGAAGTGGGCCGACGGCGAGGTGAGACGCAGGTTGAGCGAGCGCACAGCGGAGCCTTGGAGGGCGCGCAGCGCGTGCAGATCGTCCGTCATGGTGAGGTGGCACAGGGTCGGGGCGCGCAGCAGGGCGAGCACACGGGCGCGCAGCGGCAGCGGGAAGACGGCGACGTGCCCCACCGACAGGCGCTGGATGCTCGGGCCGAGCAGCGAGAGCCAGCGCGGAAGGTCGAGCAGTGCGTCGCCGGAGAGGACCAGCTCGTGCGAGAGCGAGGCAAGCGCCGGGGCGAGCTGCGCGGGCGTGGAGAGGGCGAGGTGGAGGAGGGAGGGCGAAGGGCGCGCGTGGGAGAGGATGTGGCAGATGTGTAGCATCAGCTCGGGCGGAAGTAGGTCGAGGTAGGTTTGTGGTGGGGGGGAGGACGAGGGTGACGGCGGGAGGGTGAGGGGGCGGGAGGAAGGTGGACGGGCGCGGCGCTTGCAGGGGGGGGACGGCGGGCGTGGGAGAGAGCGCTTAGGAGGCATGGTGGTCCCGGTGAAGGTCAACCCGGTGAAGGTCAAGGCGACGGTGACAGGGAGCGGGAGCGGGAGCGGAAATGCGAGGAGTTGGAGTAAGGAGTAAGGAAACAAAAAAGAGTGAGGCTCGTGAAGAGGACCATATCTAATCTGTGGCAGCTGTCGCCACGTGGCAGGAATACTCTCCTCGTTACAGTGAAAGGAGACATCATGGGGCACTCATCCACACGTGTCACACATGTACAAATTTCTGTTTTGGTCAACATGTCAACAACACTTCATCGCCCCGCCATCTCCGGCGATCGAACTTCTCCACACTTGCTGATCAATTCCTCCTCCCCCCCCATCATGGAAACCGCCACAGGCGGCTTGCTGCGCTTCCCGCGCTTCCTGCGCGCGTTTCTCGCATCGATCAGGTCGCAACAGTCGTTGCGCGCCGCGTCGCCGCCGAACCTCCTCTATCCTGAGATCCGCCTCTCGGATGCGTGGCTGGCGCTGCTGCTGGCCGCGCTCCTTCTTTCCCTGCGCATCGCCCTGGAGCGCTTCGTCTTCCCGCGCCTCTTCCCGCAATTCCCCGCTCGCAAGCGCGGCAAGCTTTCAGAAAACCTTTTCTACGCCGCGTATTATACGGCCACCTTCGCCTACTTCGCGGCCGCCGTGCTCCCGCATGCGGAGTGGACCGCGCCGCTGCTCGACAACCGCCCCATCGTCGTGCGCGGGCTCATCCACCCTTTCCCGCCGCCCATGAGCGAGCGCGAGCACTGGTACTACGCTCAGTCCATGGGCTTCTATATGTCCGCCGCGGCCTTCTTGCTGCTGTTCGATGGGAGACGCTCCGACTTCGCAGAGCTCATCCTGCACCACACAGTCACCATCGGGCTCGTGGGCATGAGCTATGCATACGGATATGTGCGTGCGGGCATGGTTATCATGGCGCTGCATGACGTCGGCGATATCTTCCTGTACTCGGCGAAGGCGATCCACTACCTCGGCTTCGCGGGCTTCGATACGGCCGTGTTTGCTGTTTTCACCGTCGTTTTTTACGTCACGCGCCTCGTCATGTTCTCGCGCATGGTGCACACCATCCTCGTCGAGACGCTGCAGGTCGTGGTCGAGGAGCCGGCGTTCAACCGCTGGGCCATGTTTTATGACACCTACCTACCGCATTACGCTTTCTTCGTCGTGTGCTTGTCCACGCTCCTGTTTTTGCACTGCTTCTGGATGGCGCTTATCCTGCGCATGATCCATCGTGAGCTGTTCTTGGGCAACAAGATCTCGGATCAGGGCGACATTCGCAGCGACCATGGCAGCGAGGATGGGGGGGATGACCGCAACCACGACGCTCTTTTCGAGGACGCCCCGGGCCATGAGGGCGATGTCGGCGCCGTTTTGGGGAAGAAGCGCATGTAGTTAGTGCGGGAGAGTGGGAGAGAGCGAGTTGGGCGAAGCGCTGGCCAATGTTTTTTTAAAAGATATTGTTGCGTTTAGGGGGGCGATCAGGTGCATTTTGGTGGTTTTTTAATCCAACTCTAATTTTTCGGGTGGGCCTGGCCAATTGGTGCCCAACTGCTGCCTTTCCTCGTCGCGACGTGATCCTCTACCTTGCATCTCACCGGCGATCGGTCGATTCTCACTTGCCGGCAGGCGAGCGCAGAGCGGCGATCCGATGACATGCCAGTCTCGCAGCGAAGCATGGCATTCCTCCCCGGCCTCACCGCCTCCTCCTTTCTCCGGCGCGCGCGTCCCTTCCACGCCTGCCCCGCCTCCCTAGCCCCGGGGCTCTCGCTGCGCCACTTCGCACCGAACACGAAGCGGATCCGAAAGCCCAAGTCGCTGGTAGCCCCGCCGGGCACGGCCGTGCCCCGCCACATAGCTGTCGTGGGCGGCGGCTTGGCCGGCCTGGCGGTGACGTACCATCTGCTGTACTCGACGGCGCGCTACGCGCGCAAGCGCGGCTTCGACGCCGACTCGCTGCGCATCACCATCCTGGACGCGCGCGCCCCGGGGGAGGGCGGCGCGACGGCCGCCGCAGCCGGCCTGCTCCACCCGTTCACCCCGCGCGCGAAGAAGAAGGCGTGGAAGCCCGTGCGCTCCATGGATGCCGCGCTCAGCCTCGTTCGCATCGCGCAGGAGAAGACGCCCGCCAGATGCATTGTTCGCTTCCCAGGCTTGCTGCGCCTCGCACTCACGGAGAAGATGCGCACGGACTTTCAGCAGGCCGCTCATCGCTTTCCCAGGGAAATCCAGTTCTTGGAGGCCGAAGAGGTGCGCCAACGGTTTTCGGGCGCGCCGGAGGGCGTATGTGGCGCGCTCATCAGAGATGCTGCCGTCGTGGATACCAGCGCATATGTGAGGAACTTGTGGCAGGTATGTGAGGAGAGCGGGAGGGTCCGTTGGCAAAGGGAGGATGTGTCCAATGTGTCGGCGCTGTTTGAGGGTGGGACCAAGGCGGATAGGGGAGGGATGGCAAGTAATGGAGCCCAGTCGACGAGTTTTGATACTGTTATTCTTTGCGCGGGGGCGTCAATAAAGGCCATCAGGGGGTTTCAGAATATCCCCTTGACTGCGTGCAGAGGACAGAACCTCCATCTCGAGTCCGCGAGGCCAGACGCTACGCTCGGCACGCCAGTGATATCTGGCAAGTACATCGTGCCAGAATACTTCAGTGGGAGCTCAGATGCACAGGATGATGAGACAGTGGATAGGGGGGTGCAGAGGATCATTGCAGGTGCAACTTTTGAATATAAGGACAGCGACCAGTCTGAGACGGAGTTCCTTGAAGAGTCATGCAAAAACGATGTCGTGCGAGCGACTTCTGAACTTGACGAACCGCTGCACCGACTTGTACCTGACTTGTATGACGGCTGGAACATAACTGGGAGCTCGTCAGGGACAAGAGCTCTGCCCCCTCGTTCCGTGGAAGGGTCGATACCAATTGCATGCAGAGTGAGTGGGACAAGAGAGGATGTGTCATGTTGGGTTTTTACGGGGCTGGGGTCGAGGGGACTCTTGCACCATGCATATCTGGGCAGGATGTTGGCACATGCAGTCGTTGCCGGCAACGAAGGCCTAATCCCAGGTGACGCCAGGCGGTTCCCGCTCGAAATGGGGAAAAGTCACGACTAGATGCTGTAGATGTCCGTGTCGCAACGGGGCTGCTGCTTGTGATTGGAAAAAGTTGCTACAACATTGCCTTCCGATGCGTACCCCGCCCACCTCTTCAACTGTTTTGAAAACAAGGCCAGTACGAAATCCCTTCCTACCCGTGACCACTATTTACAAACCAACATCCGTTGTCTCAAAGTACATTCGCCCTTAAAGCCTCTAAAATGACCTTTCCATGTACAGTATGACGATATGCACAGCATCTCCAAACGGGCAACTTTCGAAAGTGAGGCCAAACAGTTGTGGAGAGCGCCAAATGAGCCTAGCCCCGGAGGCTTCACCAGTTGTCGTTTCCCCATCAACCCATCAGATCGCTCTCATCGAAACTTAATCTGAGGGCTCTATCAATCTCATGAATGGCGGCGGGATCTGACGACTGCTGCACTCCTAGATGCGCCGGTATCTGCCTCATAGGTCCTGTCGTCACAACCTGGTGCCCGTGAACATTTAGGGGAGCTGTCGGGTTCGTCATCGGCCCTGCATGTAGAGGGGCGCTCGAGTTCATTCCCGGACCACGAGTGGCGGTAAGCATTTGCTGGAAAATCGCGTCATGTGGATTCATCATCCCTGCATTTGGTCCGGTCGGCATTCCTTTTCCTGCCATTCCAGGGACTACTGGATTGTTCATTCCACCTGCTTGTGGCATCCCACCACTCAGCCCATTGACTTGCAAAAAGTTAAACATATTTGCACCATGAGCTGACGGTTGCATTCCAGGAACAACGCCGAGGTTTTGCATAGGGCGGTGCAAGTCTTGCATGTTCTGTAATATGTTTGGAGCACCGGGAGCTCCGGCCCCTGCTGCTATTGGAGGATTACGATTCGCGTGTGCCATGCGCAGCATCATCAGGTTTCGCTGGTTGATGGGTGTATTATGACCAAGTTGAGCAGATTGCGCCCCAAGGGCATTGCTGTAGAACCCTTGAGATGCGTGTCCAGCCTGATTCATCATGAGGTTGTTTCGGTTTGGACCCTTCCCAAACATGGAGGGGTCGTTCAGTTTTCCTGCTTTTCCCGGAACCATATCAGCGGGCAGCACATCTGCTCTTCGTAATTGCGCCTCTAAATCATGCGGATTCTGAATCACGTCATCTTTCCGCAGTTGTCCATGTGCTTGTGGTTGCCTGTTCTTTTGCGCAGCGACGGCTGCCATCCTGGCGTGCTTCGCTCTGCCTTGAGGAGTCATCCCTCTCAAAGTCTGTTGCGGTAGTTGGGTGGCGAGCTTATCTGCGAGTTGTCCCATTGGTGAGGTGTGCAACACCCCACTGCGAGACATTCCTGATGAAACTATTTCTCGACCTGCTGCATGCGCATTAACTTGAGCTGCAGCCTGATGGAAATCCATTTGCGATTTCGGAGATACTCCCCTGGCTTGGTTTATCCTGTTCATAGCCGAGGTTGTCGCATTCTGTTGCGAAGTGGCAAGAAGCATAGGGTCATGGTATGCTCCCGTCGTCATAGGACTTCCGCGATGCATAGGCAGGCGCTCCCCGCTGCGAGAAGAAGCCTGACTTGGAGATGGAGTCTTCGTCTTCTTCGCGGCAACTGCTCGCATGATCATCGCAGCATTGCTCTGACTCGGAGATGCATGTGCCCGTGCCTTACCCGCCCTGGCACCTCCCTTCATATTGACGTGCATACCTGCAGGCGCACCTGCCACGGTAGGAAGCGATTGCACAGTGCCGACTCTGACTGAGGGCGATACGCTAGTCGGTGCGTGCATGGGCCGGAAAGCGCCCTTTGCTTGCATCGCCAGCTGTTCCTGTGTCAGATACTGTGATGATGCCGCTGCTGAAGCAGCTGACATTGCGGCGCTCGCAGCTTTGCTCGCAGTGATCTGAGCGGGGGTTCTCCCAACAGTCGGGAGTTGATGAGAATCCGCAGTATTTGCGGCCTTAACGTTCGTTCCAGTGGTCCCAGCAGATGACCTTGAGCTTGTCGACTTCCTCGGCGTCTGAACCGGTCTTACCTGCGTCTGTCCATTCGCCATACGGGCAGCAGAAGCAGTGCCTGGCCCCCGTTGAGCTTTCGAGATGCGCTGCTTCTTCGTCACAGGCTGATGATTAACAGGCGCCGCAGGTGCCGGCGGCGGCACAGCTGCAGGAGCTTGCGTTTTAGGCGGAAACTTCCTTTGACGTGCGTCCACAGCCGCACTCACACTCGACGCATTCGCGCTCGCTCCCGGCTTGGCTGAGGGCATAAAAGGCGTCGCAGTCGCTAGTGGCAACTTAATTGAGGCCGATGTCCTGGTATCCATTTCAAACGCTCCCGTCTCCGCGAAATACTTTTGCCCATGAAAGACGGAGGATGTCTTCGCCACGGGCGCCTGCGGCACATCCATCTGATGCAAACTCGAGCTGGCAAGCTCCTTTCCCCCCATCCCTCTCAAATACATCAACGACCCGACCAAGGTCGGGACAGCCTGCTTCACAGCCCCTATCTGCTTCTCCAGTTGTGCCTCTTGCTTCTGCTTGGCACTCCCCTTGCCCGGCGGCAGGCCCGTGATCTGCATCCCCCCAGCGGTCATAAAGCTCCTCTCCTGCGGAGCCAAATACCCGCGCTTCTTCTGCGCCCGGGGCGTGACGAGGGGCATGGCGGTCTGCATGAGCTTGCTCCACGGCGCAGCGCAACCAAATCGCATAGCGGCAACCCTGAGCGGGTCGTCATGTCGGTCTTTGCTGGGCATGCGGAAGACGCCGGTAGCATTGGCCGCAATCATGGCCTTGCGCTCCATGTTAAGCGTCTTCTTCCGCGCGGCCGGGGTCTCCAGCAGCGCGGGCAACGCGGCGCGTCTCAGCCGCGCCATACTGCACCTCGGTCGATACTCCCCAACGACGGGGGTGAGAAACTTCTTCCAGTCGTCCTCCTCCGGCGGAAACGCGGGGCGCTTCCGCCTGCGCGCGGTGTCGTCCTCGACGGCGCGCGGGCGCGGGCGCTTCGCCATGACGCGCGGCTTCCGCGACGCGCGGGCGCGGGCAGGCGGCGGGGTTAGGTTTGCGCCGTATGGCGCGAAGATGAGGCGCAGCTCATCGTCGTCAGCGGGCGGCGCGGGGCGCACGTCGTCCGCGGCGGGCGGGGCCGCCTCGCAACTTGCGGCGTGCCCCCCGAAGCGCGTGAACAGGAAAGGGCGCGCACAGCGCACGCACTGCACCAGCGGGAGACGTGGGGAGATGGGGGAGATTGTGACAGGGTCGTCGAAGAGGTCCGCGAGCGCAGGGTCGACAGGGACCGCGCCCGAGCAGCGGGAGAGGCTGAGCGCGTGGGCATGGGGGGCGGTCTGGGAGACATAGGAGAGGTGCAGGGCATCGAGCACGGCGAGGGTGGAATCGGAGGCCCACGAGGTGGAGGGGATGAGGACGGTGCGCTGCGGAGGGGGGGCCGGAGCGTGTGGGGGAAGGACGTGCGGCTCGAAATCGGTGGGGGTTAGGGAGGCGGCGTGCTTCTGCAGGGAGGTGTGCAAGGCCGTTGGGGAGGGGGAGGTTCCGTCGGGGGGAGGAGTGGAGGAGGTCATGAAGGTTTGGAGGGGAGGTCGGGGGCTACGGGGCAGGGAGGGTTGGTCTTAAAGCCGGAGCGGGAGACAGAGAAGAGCGATAGGGACAGGGGTTTCTCGCCACGCTAAAATTCGAATGACATGTGGTAGACGTGTACACGTGTGCACTGCGGATCGGCGATGCTGCGCGCTGTAAGCATGCGAGCGGGCCAATCGCGGGTGGGGCCGCCGGTGCTCTTGCTCTCGCCCAAGGTCATCGCGCGGGGCGTGGCGGTTAACTTGTCCGCCCTGCCTCCCCGCATCTTCTCTCGGCAAGCATCTTCTCTTGGCAAGCATCTTCTCTCGGCGAGCTCGTAGTTGTACGGCTCGATCTCTCGCTTCGCCACCGCCGACCGCCACCATGAACGCCGCGCCGGGGCAGAATGTCGACATGATGCGCGCGGAGATGAGCTTCTACGCAGACATGTTCAACAAGTACGTACGGCCCGCCTCTGCAAGCCAAACCCGCTCGCGCCCCATGGAAGCCCCCCGCGCGATGCTAACGCTTCTGCCTTGTGTCGGCGCCGCGACAGGATGACAGAGATGTGCTTCAAGAAGTGCGTCCCGCGCTTTCATGACGGAGATCTCAATACGGGTGAGAGTGTGTATCCCCACAGCGTCACCGACCTGTCCACCGACGCGCGCGTGCGTGGGCTCGTGTTCCGTTCGACGATTGCTGACCGAAACGGCCCGCTCCTTTCCTTTCTCGTGTCCTCCCCCTCGTAACAGTGGTCTGCGCAGATCGATGCGTGGGCAAGTACGTCGATGTAAGTTGAGGCAAGGTCAAAATTGCGCCCTTCTACTTTCACCCGCGCTCTCGTTTTGCTTTTATTGACCACCTAGCACTTTGCCTTCTCCGCCGCAGGCCACCAACAAAATTGGGGAGATCATGCAACAAGCGCAGCAATCCATCCAGCCGCCTCAGTGACCGTCCTCCCGTAAAAAAACGTCTTCCGCCCCCGCCCTTGCCCCCTCCTCCTCCAGCAGCACCTCCACCGCCGGCGCCGGCGGCGCCCCAAAGCCTGGCCACAGCACCGACACAAACGCATCCAACGCGGAGACGCTCCACGTCTCGACATGCCGCACGACCAACCCGTCGCCATCGAACGAATACCTCGTCTCCCCAGTGTACGGCTTTATCCTCGGCTTCCACGGCAAATTCAAGGCCCCCTCCAACCGCCACCTCGCCACCACCTGTTCCCCCCTCACCTCGATCGCGATCAAGTCCACGCGCGACAGCCGCCGATCAAACAGCCCCGCCGCCGCCGACACATACTTTGCCAGCCCCGTCACGGGGACGTCCGGGTCGGGCCCGTCGAACACGCAGTCGTCCGCGTATATCGCGGCGGACAGCCTCCCCGTCACGTAGTACTGCCGCCGCACAAAGTCCTCACGTATCACTTCCACGCGTTCCGCCAGCGGCAGCCCGCGCCGCTTCTTCCCCGGCGCCAGGCCTAGACCCGGCGCCGTCAACGGTAAAGGCAGCGGCAGCGACTTGTGCCTCGCCACCACCGCCCATACCACCACCTGCCGCGCCCCGTCCAGCGCATCGCCAAACCGCCGCCGCCAGAACGGGCACTTGAGCGCCGCTGCGCGCACGCGCAGCCGGTCCACCGTGCGCACGGCGGGCGGCGGCGGTGGCGGCGGCGGCGGCGGCGGAGCCGACGGCAACGACGACGCGCACCGCGGGGGCTGGCGCCGCCGCCGCCGCGTCGTCCGCAGCGGGGGACCCGGGAAGAAGGCGAGACGCGGCGACATCGCGAATTGACCACGAAGAGGGAGCATAAAGGAACGCCAAGGGTGTCCGGGAAGGCCCAGGGTGATGGGGACACCGGATATCGGATGCGCGGAAGGATGGCGAGGTGTCTCCTGGGGTTGTTTGAGATCGCGGGAAGACTTAAGTGCCAGCAATGCAGTTTTGCTGGCACTTGACCCGAAAGGGTCCAAACAGGTCCTCGGACCAGTGCATGACTTTGTACACGTAGCACACGTGGCAGAGTGGCCTCCCTGCTTGTTTTTGTACTTGTACGTACAGTAGATCACGCACTACAGTACACGCGTCCTTATCTCATCGCGTACCCCGCCCCTTCGCCTCGAGCTTCCTTAGGCTTGTCGCAGAGCACCTCCCTTTCCAAAGCCTCAACTTCACCCAGTCCTTGCCCCCTCAAAACGATGCAACCCCCCTTGCGCACCGCAACCGACCCCCTCTAATCACTCATGGCGCAAGTTCCGCGCGAAGCCGTCGAGTTTGCTCGCATGCTCGTCCGCTCCTTCTACCCGTCCGAATTCGTCGTCCTTCTAGATGCCGTCCTGCGCCACAACAACTACTGCGCTCACCACGATCTCTCGCGCCGCCTTAAGATCCAGCCGAAGGAGCTGCGTCAGATCCTGGTCCGCATGGTCCACGCGCGCCTGATGTGCAACGAGAAGCGCCAACAGAAGCGCATCAACCTCAAAGACGAGCGCCGCGCCACGCGCCTAGTCAACACCGAGTTCTGGTACGTCCCTCTCGCTCAGGTTGTGGACGCCTTCCAGTACCGCGTGCACCACCTCGTCACGGAGATCGACCAGGCACGCGCCAACGAGAACGCCCAGCAGACCGTCGCGTGCGACGCGTGCCGCACCGCGTACGAGCTCATCGAAGTCATCGCCAACGACCGCACGCCGGACGGAAATTGGGTCTGCGACCGCATGGGTGTGCGCCGCGACCGCCGCAAGCTCCCGTGCGGCGGCGTCATCCGCGAGAAGGACAACTCGGCTCAGATCAAAGAGACCGAGCGCATCAAGGCTAAGCTGGACGACGAGCTGCGCGTGCTGCGCGAGCGTGCCGCGCAGTGCGCCCGCATGGACATTCCTGAACATCCGCTGGAGGGCGCAGATGAGGCCACGTGGGGAGAGCTCGTCCCTGAGACGGTCGGCATTCATGGCGAGGCCGTCGACGAGGAGGGCCTGTCCAAGGAGATTGCCGAGAAGCTTGGCGAGTCTGGTAAGACGGCCGAGCCCGCTGGAGGGCTGCAAGGCCTTGCTCCTGCCGTCGAGAAGAAGGGCGATGCCGCCATTCCGGAGAAACCGATGTGGTTTAAAGATTCAAACCAGGAAGGCGACGATGATGACGATTGGGTGGAGGACCAGGCCGCCACCCAGAATATGCTCGACTCGAAGACAGGCACAGCTGCGAGCATGGTAGATGATGAGAAGCAGTATTATGAAAAATACATGCAACAAATTGCGGGCGAGCCGGTGCCGGTCGCCGTCGCCAAGCCGAAAGAAGCCGGCAACGTGGCCAGGCCGGCCGAGGCTACCATCCTTGACAGCGGTGAAAAGGGGACCGAGGCGCCAACCGAGGCTGTGCCGCCCGTTGACGATGATGAGCCGGAGGATGTCGCTGTGTATGTCGCCGGGAAGAAAATGATGTTGTCGGAGGTTACTGATGACATGCACGATCTCATGACTTCCGACGAGTACAATGCCTACTTTGCGCTTGCGAATGGAGGGGGGGCTGGTGGAGACGAGGATGACGATGATGCCCAGTTTGAATAGGGTGACTTTCAAATAGGGGACGGATTTTGACTAGACAACGGAGGAACGCTGCATGTGTTTCTCCAGCGAGGGGACGTCCTTTTGGTTTTGTGATGAATTCAATGCTGAGGCAAAATAGATTGAGTACGATTCCTGGAACGGGATGACGGCGCTGCAGTCCCGAACAGTCAATCCGAACCGAATGATCAAAGCTTTACAACACGCAGGACGAGGACACGAGACTGTCAAAGACGGAAATCAGAAGACTACATACATGCTGTACAGTTTAGAGGCCATCCACACCAACTAACATCTTTCTCTTGGGATAGGCGTAGTGTCAAGTGTCTATTGGACCGTTGTCCTCATATGAGGACAGTTTTCGACTTTTTTTTTTGACTTGCACGTTCTCGACAAGAAAGAAAAAGATACCCCCGCCATCGTACTTGACTTCTGCCTTGAGACCAGAAAGAAGTTTATGAGAATAGCATGTTCTTCCTGGTCGTTTTCAGATATATCTGGAAAAAGAAGCTTTTTTAAACCACCTTAAAACCGCATGTAAAGTAACTTCAAAACGAAAAACTCTTGCTTAAAACGGGAACTAGGCACTCGATCTGTTTTACATTCTTATTCTTGCGGCGTGTTCAAAGCTGCTGCTATCCCATCCGGCGTTCTGCAAGATGTTATAGCCAAAAACAAGCACGTTAAGGAAATAATGTCCAAGATAGCATTTTTAAATAATCAATTTAATTTGTATATTTCTGCAAAAAAAGAGCAGTTCTTGAGAACTGAGATCAGATGAGGACAAAGCCCCGGTTGGATAGGCACAAGACCACATTCGGCCCAAGGTGCAGCATTCTAAATTTTCTCAAAGATGTAAGGGCGCAATTTGTAACAGGTAAGCTGTTTTGGTCTTTGAAATGACGAACAGTTTTGGAACACCCTGCCGAGCTTCTTCTTGGACCATTTCCATCACTTGGTCGAGAATGGGTAACGAACCTCACAATGCTCACAGCCTTCATGCCTTCCGTCGAGCTAATTTTGTAAACAACGGTTACACGTCTTTTCCAGATTGTACTTATAACAGATTATATAACTGAGAAATGCAAAAATCAATGACATTCATCAAGGGCAACTAGAAGTGCAGAAGTACGAGCTCGAGAGAAGTACACCACTGCATTTTATTACTTTCTGTCATTGTGAAAAGTTGATTGACACCACTGTCGAGACTATCTTGTAAAACGTTGTTCTAGCTCGACTTTAGAAATCGAGGTGAGTCCAGCCCTATAAGTCTAATGAATTACGGTATGATGGGGGGTACGAAGCGTGAAAAGATTCGAGCAAGTATCAAAATGTAGTGAAGGCGGATCAAAGTGGGTATGAAGGGAGCGTTTCTCGTTCCAGGTAGAAATTTCCACAAGTCATTGAAAATGTGACCACGGCTTATGCCGTATGATCCACGAGTATCTTCACCTTCATTGATCAAGCTGTGCACTTGACCTTTCGAGCGTCATTGATCTCCACATTTTTTGATAGATATTCCGCTGGCACTGACGTTGGAGGAAGAAGGGGCCACAAACTAAACGTATACCGTTCTTTAGTGTTGTGGATGATACACGTTCCAACTTTGGAATTTATTTACAACAGAGCTAAGACCCCCACTTTATTTACAACAGAGCTAAGACCCCCACTTTATTTACAACAGAGCTAAGACCCCCACTTTATTTACAACAGAGCTAAGACCCTTCCAACGCATAGTCAAGACAGAACTATTCTTTGCATTATGCCGCAAATGAGAACTGTGCCATATTTATCAAGAAATCCTCTGGCGTGGTCTGCCATACTGTATCATACAGTACCAAGGGTCAATACATTGACCGTACCAAGGGTACATTGACCGTACCAAGGGTACCGCCACCATCTCTAGGCGGGGAAAAGGGTGGCAAGGCCTCTTTTGACTTCTTGGGGAGAGAGTACAGAGCATTGCGCACTGGCACCATACTCAGTGCAGCATCAATCGATATGTATGATTCTTTTGCACATTACGGCTGTGGATGAGGTCTTCTACTGGTTACTAACAGCGCTTGCCACGTGTCAGTGCCATTTGAAGTCGTGGCCCGGTGTACTGTGGAGACGAAGTGGAGGGCATACAGTATGACATGATGGACGTCTGGGCTGTGCCTCTCACAGTCCAGCCTGGGACATGTAACTTTACTGCTGGGGCCCAACGCCCATCCTACGCCAATCCTCCCCCATCTTCGCCCCCCCATCTTCCTCTCCTCCCTTCCATCATGCTCTCGTGAACCTGCAAACCCCCACACACCATGCTCACGCGCAAGCTCGCATTCGCCACCGCGGCCACAGTCGCTGGCTGGACAGGCAGCGTCGCCCTGGAGCGCCGCCCCGGTCTGCTCGATTCCACGCCTCTGGACTTTGCCTCGTCCGCCGTCATCGCCACCGTCCGCTTCACGCGCGCCCTGCGCACTGCCGCCGTCGTCATGGCAGATTACCGCTTTCTCTTCGCCCGTCACAGTGAGTATACTTCCGACGAATATAGAGCCGAACGCAGCGACGTCCACCGTCGTTGCTCCGATCGCTGCCTCAACCTGGCCCGGAAGCAAGGCGCGGTCTACGTCAAAATTGGCCAGCATGTCGCCTCGATGAACCATGCCGTTCCTCCAGAGTATACGTCGAAGCTCAAGTTGCTTGAGGACAGAGCCGCGTACAGACCATATTCTCAGATTAAGCGCGCCTTGGACCGCGAGTTGGAACGCCCGATGAGTGACGTCTTTGACCACTTTAACCACAAGCCAGTCGCCGCGGCAAGCCTTGCACAAGTGCACGAGGCAACCCTGAAGGACACCGGCGAACGCGTTGCGGTTAAGGTTCAATATCCGGGCCTGGAAGCTCTCGTCAGAGGCGATCTCGCTTCAATTAAGTTTCTGTCTTGGATGTTGTCCTGGGTCTTTCCTTACTTCAAGATGGATTGGGTCGTCGAGCAATTTCGTCGCAACCTCGAAAAAGAGCTTGACTTTGAGCTCGAGGCCCAGTCTGCGCTACGCACGCAAAAATTTTTCAAAGACGATCCCCGCGTATTCGTCCCAGATGTGTACAACGACACTTCAACCAAGAAGGTGTTAACAATGGAGTACATTGACGGTTTTCGTGTCGACGACCTTGACGCCTTGCACGATTACCTTGTGGACCCACACGCCGTTGCTCAGACTGTCGTTGACGCATTTGCGCAAATGATCTACGTCAACGGTTTTGTCCATTGCGACCCACACGCAGGTAATCTCATGGTCCGGCCTGGCCCAGGTGGTGCTTTTGAGTTGTATTTACTAGATCATGGCCTTTACAGACAATTGGATGATGACTTTCGACAAAGCTATTGCAAGCTTTGGAAGGGCCTTGTTCTTCGGCGAACCAAAGATGTGGACGAAGCTTGCGAGGAGTTAGGTGCGCCCGGTTTTGCAAACGTGTTCTCAGTATTTCTTCTGAATCGCTCCTGGAGCATCGCGAAGCGGCTTGGGACAGATCTCAGAGTGAAGATGGGGAGGGATGAGCTGAGACGGCTGCGAAGTGACTTGAGGGACGGAGGCTTGAGATCCCAAGCCGACGTCAACGAGTTTGTTGAAAGAATTCCTGACGACCTCCTTCTCGTGTTTAAAATGACTTCTCTGGTTCGCAACGTTAACAAAGCATTGGGGGCTACCGTGAATCGATTCAAGGTGAACGCGCGATACGCGGTCAGGGGACTACGACATGTGAATAACTTCAGCGCTGAATCAAGTGGAGGTGCAGATGACACTAAAAGCGTCATCGTCGCTGGAACGCATTCGGAAAGGTTGCACCCATTTTCCGCACTCGCAGCGGTGACAGACTGGTTCGGATTGTTGATAGACCGCGTTTGTATCGAACTGCAATTTCTTGTGCTGGATGTAGCGCTCCTCGCTGTGAAATGGTGGTTTGGGAGCAGCGTTCCTTCCGTGAGATCTGATCAGAAAGCTAACCTGGATGCTTCTGAGAGTGCGGGCCTAATCGGATGAGGTACGTAGTTCAGACGTATGGTCACGACTGGTACTGCCGTATACCGTGCGAGATATTTTGTCTTGAAAGCAAGAGGCTCTGGCTTCGACGCAAATTAACAAATGGCGGATCATATTCCATGACCTTCCCCGCGTCGATTTTCGTGTTATCCAGACTGAAAGCAATCAGAATGCCATAAAACAATTCAAAACACAGCTGTCTTGTACATGTTGTGGTCGGGCCGTATCTGTGTGTCCATGGGCAATATCTGTTTGAAGTGGGTGCTAACTAAATAGTAAGGCCTCTAACGAAAGGACTATGAATGAAGGAGCTCGCCAGGGCTCATGGAATATTAACGATGTTGCATGAAGTCGCGTTATAAGTTGGCCGAGCGTGCGAGGGGTGAATATTATTGTACAGTGTGTACGATGGAAGGAAGTATGCCGGATATGAGTTAAGGAGAATGATTTGGCACTACAGTATACAAGTACTCCCTCGTCATTCCTCACACCGTTTGGGATGACAGGAGGGAGATTGTGAAGTGTCTCAACACTTTATGATTTTTTGACACCGTGTAATCTAAGTGGACTGTTTTTTGCAGCTGGTTCCTATGGCGATCGTGGCGATGCGCGGCAATTTGAAGTAGTTGGTGAAAACGTGCGGCTTCGTGCGTTGCTTGATATCAATATCAAGCAATCAATAGGATAACGTGAGCTCCGCGGACGGAGGGGTTGTGGTTGGAGCAGGATTAATTTGTAGTGAATCCTGTGATTATATATTTCACCTTCGAGAAAGTAGGCCCTCATTCGCAGAGTAAGTGCTCCTCCTCAGCCAAGATGGGCCCAGTGCTGATATCCTCAAAGCGCCGTGATACAGCATGACAAGTTCAATAAAGGTGCGGTTGACTTGTTGATGTCAATGCTATCAGTGTTGGCGGCTACTGTATGGCGTTGTGATGCAAGGGCCCTGGACTCGAGAGTCGCTTTCATATTGGCTTTCATACTGGCTTTCATATTGGCTTTCATATTGGCTTTCATATTGGCTTTCATATTGGCTTTCATATTGGGAAAATCCATGGACATTTTGTAAATATAAATAAATTTTGTAAATGGGAAGGAGAGAAATTAAGTTTAATATGGGTTTGCCATAGATTTGCCATACAGCACATGTTCGTTGTGTACGTTATTTACCGTACACAACGGACAGTACAGGGCGTGTGCCAAAGTAGCAAGAAACAAGACACCTTTAACGAAGCGTGTGAATCGGAACAGAACAGCAGCAATCTAATTATATCATGCTTCCTCTCCGAGATGATGAGCGGAGCAAGCACAGTGTGCGCACGCTGAATACAATCCTTTGAAATTCTTCATTCAATGAGACACGAAGCAGAGATACATGGAAGCATGCCTCTGGGGCCTGGATCAAAATCAATGCCAACCAGAGTGACACGAAACCATGTGCCGTTGAGTAAAAAGCACTCGACGCATCGTTAATGTTAACAATACGATTCCACACGATGGTGCAGGGTTGCCGAATATAGGTTACTCTATCACTATCTCATTTTTTCAAGGCCTTCTCAAAGTATAAATGATGTCGAGCATTTCAAACGTAGATGTGGGAAAAGCAGTATTCCTTACCTGTAAAATCTTGGAAAACGTTTAAGGAAAGACTGCATATAAATAAATTAGGATCACTGTGTACTACACGTAAAAGAAGAAAGTGCTTGTAGTTTTAGTACTGTCATCAGCGACAGCACCAGCACTCGGCAGCCGTTACGAATAAGACCTTTGATCCTTTGGCGACTGCGCCGCAGTACGCAACACGGCCACAACACTAATAAGAACGGCCTATGAAAAGCTGGTTCGCATCGAAATCGCGCCCGGGCACTCTGACATTGCGCGCGATTTGAACAACTCATATCAGCCATTGCACCTCTAGGCGAGACCATGATGCACTGTATCATTGAATGCCGCCCGCATTGATTCTATCCGAATAGGGCCTTGGGCCTAGGCGAAGAGAGTGTGAGTGCTGCTCTAAAAAAACAGGTCCTGACGGTATGTCGGAGCGGTTCTATAGGCGGGCGGGACGGTCGTGTGATTCCTGTATGGCAATATCATAACAGCTGATCGAGGCTAAGATATTCCCACCCCTCGGACGCGTGGAAAATTGATGGCCGTCACTTCAAGAATGACTAGGTAGTCAGTAGTCTCGGGAAAGGGGCACAGAAGAATAGATTCCGCACTGGGAGAAACTGTCAGTGTGCACAGCCTGCTTCGCTCAACTGGAAATCATTAACACCCTGTCCATTTCTCTAACTGAAATGAACGGGGCCCAACCTCGTCAACGTTGAAGCCCCCATCACCACTTTGTCGAAAACGACTCATCCCTGGACGCACAAGTGATCCCGGAATCTCAAATGGCAACTATTCGGATATGTCGATCAGGGCATGTGCCTGGTGTGATGGCGTGCCCTTGGCGGTAAACGACGATCACGCAGAAAGACCCACGCGTGAAGGGGATTCAATAGCGCTTGCTTTGCTTTTCTAGATACTGCTACGGCACCATATCTAATTTTCTTCGCGAACCACAAAGAAAGGGATGACATGAGTAGCCATACTGAGTTCGCTGATAGCAGTCGTTTTGAATATGGTGCCCATATTCCATTATAAACGGGATAGCGCATCTCCTACATACCGAAAGACATTCACGGCCCCATCGGGTGCCAAGGTTTGTGCTGTATAGATATCAAATACAAAAAGAAATCTCTCGCAAAAGTCGAGATGTTGTCCTCAACCTATGTCGAGCAAACGGCAACCCCCTTATAGCACCTGCAATATGCAAGTACAGTCTTTCAAATAAAAGGAACAAAAAACAATTGCTACTGGGAATCACCGGGGGACTTTTTCTGAAAAGCGTTCCGCGTTCTTTACCCCATCCCAGTACCTTCGCAAGCCGGCAGTAGACGCACAGAGAAGAGCGATGGAATTTGATCGCGTGTTATCGGGCTTGCGATGAAAAATATATCGATTTTCAACAATTGTGATCGATTCTTCTTCGCCAGTCCTGCTCATACGCGCAGCAAAGACAGATGATCAAGAGAAGTGCCTCTCCTATTGATGACGGCACGGAGCGGGCCTTCAGCACCATACAGACGAAGTTTCCAACCTCCCGTGACTTGCGGCTCAGTCCTTTTTGGGAAGCTCGTGTTAATACTCCTTGTAAAGTACACAATAATACATTTATCTCACGTGATGATTATAGTATAAACATTCCTATTTAAACCTTGTCTTCTGCCATGTCCCGCCCGAGGTACTGTACCGTTGTGCCGTAACGGTACCGTACATCCTCATAGGGTAGCGAACTATTGCTGTCCCACACACAACCTCAACTTCATTGCCCTTCATGTCCTGCGAACAGTACATCGAGTCTAGCTTTCGAAACTACCCAGGATAACGGAAGTTCTCTTTTTTCTGACTCATCGCTCCTGATTGTCTCAAGTTCCAGAACTAAGTTCCAGAACTTGTGTTGGGCCTCTCAGACACAATAATTATCATTCATCGCTCCTCAGCATAGCTTCCCCTTCAAGATTAACCGGATCGAGACATATTCGTTCCACGAAAAATACAGATAAACTGCACTATTCCCAAGTTGGCCCACAGTCATTCCAGGGACCCGACCTCATCCATCAACATTTACTTAAACCCCTCTCCCCTTCCTCGGCACTGTCGACAACCACCGTCGTTACCTACCCAAAAAAAGGCATCAACCAACAGTTCAATTCTTCTCACCCACCGTCCCTGCCTCCTCCTACTTAATCAGAATATTCTCATTCGCAACATCAACATCTACTTCAACCCCAATGGACCACCGATCTCACACCGACCTGGGCGATTTCAATACCAACTTCTGGGCTCTTCCAAACGTCCTCACCCCACAAGATGCCGCTGTTCTCGACAACTGCGACGCAAGAGTCGTCAACGGATTAGTCAACGCTATCGATGCCATCGATAAAATCATTGCCCCCAAAAAGACCAAGTCAAAATCTAAATCCAAGTTAAGATCAGACCGCATGGCTCTCTGTGATAAATGCGGCACTGGGTTCAGCAGCATTGGAAATTTGAACAGACACAACCGCGTATCGCATCAGGGTTTGAGGGTGTTTTGTGACTTCAAGGGCTGCAAGCAGGTATGTCTACTTTTTGGCATTTTGAGACTTGTAGTATGTGTTCACGACTTTTGATGAGGTTGACTTCTAACATTGAAATATCGTAATTTCCGATTTCCTGTTGTGCCGCCTGTTTTTACAGTCCTTCAGTCAAGCTGCAGATCTTTCACGACATCGCCGTCGCGTGCACATGTGCTTTACTAAACTCGAACAATATCAGAAGGGCGTCATTCGACCTTCGCATGGTCGAACCTCCTAACTACATCAGATATCTCTCTTAGCACATCGTCTGTGGCCACTGCACCAACAAACTGACCTACTATTCGCATTCATTGAAGCATTACTCCGTCTGGTGAACGTACAGTTCAGTACATGTAGGTTAGAAAAACACTGAATCAAAGTTCATCAGATTCGTTCAAATACAAATGGATCACTATTTCGATATGTCAAATCAGACTCGTTTTTTTCTGCAATCTCCGTTTCAAAGTACCCTGATTAGAAGCATTTGCAAATGCGTTTGGAATGGACTAGGATTTCTTGGATGCTCAGAAGGGCGGTATTTTGATGGGGAGATTTCTTCTGAATATTCGCATGTGCGATATATGCATCGGCCACTTGTTCCGTGCAAAGTACTGAAAGGGGAGCGCGCAATTGTCCAACATACGTATAGATGTGATTTTTAGTTGGTAGTTGTATACCCATTCCCCTCATCTATCAATGGACAGACAGAAGTTGAACAGGGAGAAGACATCCATGTGTTACTGTACGACCCAAAAACATGAAAAACGCGGCGATCAATTTAGAACTGAATTTGTTGTTTTTATTTAAGGTCAGCGACATAAAAAATTACATATTTTGTCCCAGCACTTTCGTCCTAGGCATGATGGCCGAAGTGATGAAGAGGCAACAGGGAAGCAATGCTGTCCCACTACTCAAAACTTGTGCTGCTCAGGGAGCGTGGAAAGCTTCCTCGCTTTGCACGAAACCTATCTTTTCTTTCATACAGATAACCGTTTTCGGTGTATCGAGGAGCGAGAGTAAGCGCAGTTGCTCTGCCAAATGAGAAGATGGACGGTTATGCAAAGCTTCCTCGCTTTGCACGAAACCTATCTTTTCTTTCATACAGATAACCGTTTTCGGTGTATCGAGGAGCGAGAGTAAGCGCAGTTGCTCTGCCAAATGAGAAGATGGACGGTTATGCCATAAAAAACGCGCAAGAATATGTAATATGTCCACACACGGTCAGTGGGATTGCGCTTGTTGTGCAATGGGGTACAGTACCCTTGGGTATCATTTACTTGAAGAGCTGTGCAGTTAGTGGAATTACTAAAAATGAGTATTAATCAGATGCTGTCCTATGGACGTGTATTCAATGTATGTGGGGTCATGGTCGATATCTCAGTTGCGGATATCGAGCGAGGGCGGTCGACCGGAGCAGTCTTTCTGGAGTGGCCCTGGGAGTCCAATGACACCGTCTGGTAGAGATCTTCGTATGCTTTACGACCACTGCCGCACATGGCAGACTGGAGAGCCCCATTCGGTTGCATGTGTACGTCCAAATCAGTCTCAGAGCTGAAAGTTTCAGGAAGACCGTCAGCCATGACAACCCTTTCCATGGTGTGCAGTCTTGTGCCACCGACTGCAGTCCATAGCACCCAGTGAGTGCCAAGCAGGAACGCTACACAAGTGATGAGGATACACAGTAGGGCATCTCTCTTCACCGAATAGGATCTAAAATCTTGTATCACCTGCTCATTCGCAGCTATGACGCGAAGCAACCGCTGATCATTTAAATCAGTGAGCTGTTGAAACTTTGAAGACTCCAATTTCACTGATTTCAGCGCTGTGGCAAACCTCGACAAGTGCGTGTCGATATACTGGTTGGTCAAGGTTTGATTTAGCTCAAGCATCCGAATGAGCCGCGTGACTTTGCGAAAGATATTATCGTCTCCACCGCCGGAAGAGAGAGCGTCAGCTCGCACGGCTTCCAACACTACTTGATCTTCTTCGGACATGGCTTCCCCAGCAAACTCGTACTTTTCGTCCTCAATACCAGGCTTTTCTGAGTTGGAGTTGCTGTCGCCCTCTACTCGAAGTTCTTTCTTCACCGCGCTGGGCGCTTCATCGTCTTTCGGCGTCTCGGGCACCTTAGCTTCCTGTGTGGCGTCACTGCTATCTGTGCGCGACCCACTGTCATAATGTTTTGCCTGGTGCGCCTGATGTTGCTTTCCGTCTTGCGACTGATTTGGCCGTTCCGCAAGCCCTGGCGTGTCCCTTGCTTCGCCTGGTTTCTCAGTTCGTGCAAGAGGTTCTGAGCCAGCCCTGGACTGCCGTACTGAGCCTTCGTCTCTTTTTTCTCCCACGCCATGTCCTCCCACGCTATGCAACCCAGGTCGCTCTGGTGGGACGTCGCTTCCCTTCTCTGAAGCCTGTTTCCCTATGACGCGGGGCTTGGCAACTTTGTTCTCGAAAACTGTTTTCCAATCCGCAATCAGATTCTTGCCAAGCGCTCTAATTGTCGAAACTGGGCAGTAGTACTCTTGCCCTTGCTTCCCAATAAACAGAATACGAAGGTACCTGGTCACGACTCTCCTCTGGATTCGAAAACTCTGCAGCGTACGCACGTTTGTGTAGCCAAAAACTCCGAGAAGATTCCATTGAGTAGGGGGGTAGGTGCCCGCCCCAAGAACAACGACGTTCGTCGCCGAAGAAGAATAAAACTCGAAATTACCGACCTCTACGCTCTCCAAAATTATGTCCTCGGAGAGCTCAATCTCTATCCAACGCGATTCTTCCATGCTGCTCGTGCAAGGAGCTAGGAAGTACTTGTCCACACTATCTTGAATAACATTTTTGGCACCAACAATTTCCTTCGAAGCTGAGAGAATACGAGCACCAGCGTCTGCAGATGCAAAGTTAAAGGGCTTCCCCTCCTTGGTCATCTCAGACGCTGAACTTCCTAACTTTGCTGGGGGCGATTTTGACGACGTATGCCCAATAGCTTCATAGTTGTCTCTCTCCTTTTCGAGCAGAGGGATAACCGGCGACTGCCCGTCACCGTCAGTTGAAGAACCATTCACCGTCTCGCCCCTACGATCACTCGACTGATTCGCATTCTCTCCGCCCGCCCCTAGCGAAATCGGTACTTCCGACACAATTTGGAGCAACGCCGCCGGGATCGCGCTAGTCGACGATGATGAGAACAAGTTAGATACTTCTCGAATTGATCGCATGATGTCACCAATAACTGGAATCTCCATGAAACCATGGGCGGGCTGCCCGTAATCCCGTAATACAACAGGTTTGCGCAAGTCATATAACCGCCTGAGGCTTTGGTTAGACAATGCCGAGCGGGAAGGCAACTCCTTGTCTTCTTTTGCAAGGGGCGACGCCGTGGTGGCTTCGTTCTCTGGCCCGAACGGCAAGTGACCTTCTACAGTTGAATTTAGAGGCGGGAGCGATTGGCGGTTCGAGTTGTCCAATACGGCTGCCGGCAATGCATTCAGTGTAGCAGCACTTCTCGCGGCATTACTGCAGTCTTCGACGTCCGACGGATGTGGTTGTATCTCCTCTCCCCCACCTGCGCCACTCATCATGATCGCATCGTCTTTCCACGCTGGTCTTCCATCTCCACCAATGACACATCGCGGATAGTGCACGTGCGGCTCCCACCCATGATGCGGCACTACGCACACATCCTTGCCGTCTGGCGAAAAGGTTTCCGCAATGGGAGACTTGTTTTGTCGCGGAGCAGGGCTGGGTGAGACAGACTGGGCGTCGGGCGTATCAATGCCATTAATCTTGCGCACGCGCAACTCTATATCTTCCAATTTACGCTGCTTCCATTCTTTGAGCGGGACGAATACATGATCAATAGCTTCCGTAGGCGCAGGCTCTTGCGAAGCGTGTCCGGCGGGGATGGGACGAGAGTCTGGGGAGGGAGGTGCGGGAGTTGGTTGATGGGCGGGTTGATAGGCGGGTTGATAGGCGGGTTGATGAGCGGGTAGATGGGTGGCGGGGACTGAGGCAGATTGGGAGGGGGTTTCCTGGGGATGGGCTTGTAGCGTGGGAGAAGCGGTTGTGCTTTCGAGGGCGGCGGGTGGGTGCGAGGCGGACGGGGCGTGTACGGGAGCGGAGGGAGGAGTGGTACGCAGCGGAGCCCCGGTGGTATCCGGGAGGGGTGGGGCAGCGATAGAGTGGGGCGGGGCGGCGTGTTGCGGTGTGTGTGCGATGGGTTGGGCGATGGGTTGGGCGATGGGTTGGGCGATGGGTTGGGCGACGGCGCGGACGGCAACGAGGGCGAGGAGGATAAGGCAGAGGCTAGCGAGTGAGGGCCGAGCGGGCCACATGGAGGGGGGTTCGCGAGGCGGGAGGGGGGGCGGGGCGGCTTCGAGTCATGTCAAGCGGGGTGAGGGCGGTGGTGAGGGCGGTGGCGCAGGCGGGACAGGCGGGACAGGCGGGGAGGACGGTGGCGCAGACGACACAGAAGGGGGAGGGCGTTTCGGCTGGAGCGGCAGCGGTGGGGTCGGAGGGGGACGGATTGAGTTCAACCGGCAGGGAAGGGAACGGGAGGCGGAAAGGGGCGATGGAAGTGTGGAAAACGACAAGTGGAGGGGAAGGATTGGGTGCCTGTGTCTTGACAGCAGTGCGGGCTGCCCCTACTGGTGGACTGCGCTTACAGCTTTCGCGAGTTCTTTTTTTTAAAGGAATTCATGGTTTTGGGTGCCAGGGCAAGATCGTCGTGTACACCCAAACATCGCAATTAGTCTGGGCTAGACTATAAAAAGTCTAGGATATATTTTCACCCTCACACGTAATAATGCGGACTGCACTAATATGTGTATCCGCACTATATGCATCACAACCTAAGATAGAGTAGACCAGACTAATTTTCAATGAACATATTAGTGAAGACTACACTATTTTGATAAACACGCTATTGCCCAATCATATCCCGTCCATGTTACAGTATTCCCCCGTTGTCCGCATAGCACTCGGTCAGCTGAACCAGTATGCAGACAACGGGTTTATGCCGACAGCGAAGGAATCTTTACTGTTTTCTGAAATGGTCTAATATCGTTGACTGGCGCAACGCAGCTTGCCTTTCCAATCGTAAGTCCTTTTGGCACTCCCTTAATCGTTTCTGTAGGCTTTTGTCCATTCTTCGAAGTCGTTCTAATACAGATCCTGCTACTGCCAAACCCTTTAACTTCTCTTCGATACTGTAAGACTCATCATCGGCATCACTTCCTTGTGCCTCTTCTTCAATACACTCCATGCCTGCCATAAACGCTCCCTGATTTTCAACAGTCGGTGTCTCCGTCATATCGTCCTCCCCTACCGGATTTAGTAGACTCTCTAATGCAATCCTTTTATACCTTACACCATGCTCATTTAAGTCCCTCACCGTTTGATCCACTTCTTCCAGTCGAGCCCGTTCTGTAGTATCCTCCATGTCCTCCCTTTCTACCCTGAAACAAATATCAAAACAATTCTCAATGCAGCTTTCTGGAAGGGAATTCCACTCTTCTATCACCCAACGTATGGCTGTAAGGATGTCGATATTGTAAATTGACTTTTTCCCAACATCACTGTTGTCAAAAACACGGAACAACAAACGCCGTCGGAACTTCATTTTAACTGCAGCAATTGTTCCCGCGTCTAGAGGCTGAATTCGACTTGTAGTGTTCGGAGGGAGAAAGCAAACCTCTACATTTTGTAGATCCGGGAGAGAGTCCTCTGTTCCGTGTGCAGAACAGTTATCAAAAAACAAAAGTATCTTCCGCCCGGCCGTGCTACCAACGTAGCGATCCAGCCGCCCCAGCCAGCCAAAAAATAACACTTTTGTCATCCACGCCTTCTTGTTGGCGTGGTAATCGAAACCAAGTTCATGGCCATACTTTCCTAAAAAAGGACGAGGACGCAGCGCGTTTCCAATTATCATAAGTGGAAATCGTTCCGTTCCGTCCGCGTTACAGCATGCCAGAAACGAGATTCTGGTCTTGTCTTTTTTGAAACCAGCGGCAGGTTTCCGCGACAAAGACCATCCCGGCGGTTGGCGATAGAAAAGACCAAACTCGTCAGCGTTCCAGACATTTTTAGGACCGTACTCAGCCACCTTTGCCACAATTGATGGCATTGCGGCAGTGATCGCAGACTCATCCGCACTCAACGCCTCCCCATGCACACGTCGAAATTTGATGTTGTTTCGCTTCTGGAAGCGACTAAGCCATCCATTCCAGAACTTCAAGGAAAGCTGTTGATCGAGCGGTAGGTGTTTGTTGGCTTCGCGTTGCAGTATCTCTGCTTGATGTCGCAAAATTATGCCATTAATTTGAATACCACTGGCAGACTTTTCACACAACCAGAGGTACAGCGCGCTTTCAAGACGAGGGGATGCTGGAACGCGGCGATTTTTGAACGATGAACGCGCACTGGGGGGAATGGCAGAATATGTCGACTTTGTCGAGAGAAGCCGAGAAATTATGGCTTGGTTTGGGGCTTTGTCAAGCGTAAAGCTCTCTTTTGCCCAATCTGCAAGTTCCTTCTGAGTCATGGGCTCTTTTCGTTCGCATCGACGCTGGTGCTCATCAGTAATGAGCTGTTTTTGGCGCACGGTAAGTGCGTGGCTCATTTTTGGTGTCCGAGGGGAATGGCTCGAGGATAGTGTTGGAACGATGCTGGAAAAGAGGCACAGAGAGAATCGGCGATCTGTGGATGTCAGATGTGAAACTGTTGGCTAACCAACTTCAGACTTGGCATTTCACATCTCAGGAATGTGATATATGCGGGGGAAATTTATCTAAAATATATCTGAAAATCATGCTGCCGCTTGGATTGTGTATGCATGTATGGAGTATGCAGTATATTGGCCATTCCAGGTACATGGCGCCCCTTTTTTCATGGCAAATGACATTTGTATGCAACTTTCGAGGATATACGGACAGGGGGGTCTGCAAAAAGCGGAGGAACACTGTAGCATATCAACACATTTTACTCATCATCAACATCAACAACGGGAGCGCCATCGAAGTGATTTCTATACTTCTGCACTATCTCTTGCAATTTTGGAAACAGCTGGGAATCTTCCCATTGTCCGTTGATATTACAAGCAAGGGTGCGGATCATAGCCTTTCGGGCGTACCTCACTCCATCTGCATCACGCATCGCATTTACGTCCCTCACAACGGCTGCGGCCAAAGTCAAATAGTAATGATTCCCCGGGTTAGGAATTTTCCCAAAAGCCGCCGCGAACCCATTTCGCATAATTACGTCCATCTTATATCTATGGCATCGTCCACGCCATGCATCCTTCAATTTTTGGATGACAAAGGAATCCGCCGGCTGAATCAAATCTGTGGTGTTAGGCAGAAAAAAGCATAGCTCCGTGTTACACGCTTGCAACGCCTGCTCCAAATTCTCCGATATCCCATGCCCCCCACAATTGTCAACAAACAAAATACGTTTCCGCCCATGCGGCAAACATTTGAAAACTTTGCTCTCTGCCAAATATTGCGGAAAACCGTCTTGTCCATCCACTATTTCGAGCCTGAACGATAAGATGCCCCTCGCACATTGTCCGGGACCTCCCGTATCGGATAAATTCTATTAGTATTCTGAAAACCCATAAATGGCGCTTCAATAACAGCATCCCTTCCACAAGAGATCCTGGCCATCATCTTCATTCCCTCAGACCCCGAAACCACGTCCGAATACTTCACTTCAGCTTCGCCACATTTTCCCAATGTCCTGTGATTATCCAAATTAATCAGAAAGTGCGTTTCGTCCGCATTACACACGTCATTTTCGCCCATTGCTCCCGAACGAAATGCACGAGCAACTATCCCAAGGTGGTACGCCACCCCCTCTCAATATGGGCTTGTTTGGCCGGCGATACGATGAGCTTCCCAGTTTGGGCCCTACTGACGATTTGGAAACGGTTCATGAATGCCTGTATCCAGCGGGGTGATATTAATTCAATAATTAATTTGTTCGATTTTAAATCTTTCAGATTGGCTTGATACACCGCATTACGAGATTCACGGACCAGGTGAATTGCCAAATGACGTAGAAGTTTTGCGTTGAACTTTAGGCCGGACTTCCTCAGACGCTCAAACTCCTCGATTAAGTCTGCATGCATTCCAATTACCCAACCCGCCCGTTTCCTCCCTCGACCGGCACAAGCCTTGATGTAGACACGTTTCATGCCCGCGCGCGTGACGCGCGTAATCGAAAGGGGTATGCCGCGGTTGTTTGTACCTCTTTGGTACGTCATCAGGGCTTCCCGGGTTTTCCACAGCCTACTCACTTTTCCATTGTTCGCTTTCTCTGATCCCCAAAAAAGTGCTGGGAAATTGCGAACCGCTCGGGATGCCATGTGTTTGTCACCATCTGTACGAGACGCTTCCCCCATCCACGTTACGATCTTGACACGCTGTGCATGAGTAAGCACATTCTGAAGTACCCGCTTCTGCGGTTTGTTGAGCTGAGGGGGTAGTGAAAGTGAATCTGATGGCGTGTCCAAGGGAGGTGGGGTGGAAGGATGCACCGTTGTACTGCTGTGGTGCGGTTCTGTTGGGGAGGGGGGCAGATGGGAGGTGTTCGAGGAGGCAGTTGCCACTGCTCGCTGCAAAGAGCGCACGATGGGGGAGGCCGAATACATTTCGGTGCGCCTCACTGAGAGATTTGGTGAATGCATGGGGAGGAATTCCATATCTTGGTGTTAAAGCTCCTTTTATAGAGGTTTCAGGCAGCCGAACTGGACGGGAAACACGTACTGGGTGGCTTTAGAGGCGGGGTGATGGCGTTACAATTTGCTGCGCATTGCGCTTCCCGCCTAATAATTGCAGTAGTTACCGTCGGGCGCGCATTCCGGTGCGCGAGAGTCTGTTTGCTCTATGCTTTTCCTATCCTTTTGGCGCATCCAGACTAATATGTGTGTAATATCAAATAGTATAGTCTACAGTAATTTTGTTTACGAGCAAGGACAGCTCGCAGAAGTTAGTATGGTCTACGCTAATATGTGTATACATACTAATTTTCCACCCAGACTAATTGCGATGTTTGGTGAACTTGCATCGGCATTCGACGGACCGCGCGCGCATGGGCGTCAGGTTCAGACCGGACGCCAGGCCATTTCTAAAACTTATGATCATTTCAATCTCCTAAGAGCATCCCCACCGGTGAGGCTAAAGTTGTAAAAAACGAATTTTTACAGCTTTAATATTTTACACCCCTGTTCATTACTCCCACCGTTTCGAAAAGATGCATTATTTTTTACATCGAGATAAATTCGGGTTGTAAAAATCGAGAGTATAGCACCAAAATTTAGAACTATGCATTTGAGGTGGCGAACGCTGATTAGTTCAAATTCCATTTTCCCGCGAAGTCAAAGTTGGTTGAAAGGGTCTTGAAGTTGAGCTTCTCTCTCCAGTGGAGAGGAGAGTCTCCACCAACACTCCTCCCCATCCTGTACATGTCTGCACCAAACGTAAGTTTGTCTGGCAGCCACCCTACGTCTTTCGAAGGGACAGCCGTCACTAGCGGTATGGGCGAACTCGAATCAAACGCGATCCCCGACGCAGCCGCAGCCGCTTCTTGTGAACCCCGTCTCTTTCCTGTCCCTTTAACCACCCCCACGCAAACTTCGATCGCCGACACAATCCCAGCCGTTCCTATTGCACCTCCACTCTTTCCTGTTTCCGCCCCTGTCCCCACACCCACGCATACTTCGATCCATTCGATATCGTCAGATGCCATCTCAAATCCAGCACCTGGTCGGTCTCGTGGGTCTAACTATTCCACACAGGACGATTTCGTGCTAGCTCGACCGTGGGTGCGTGTATCCCAGTATCCTATCATTGGGAGTGAGCAAAAGTCCCAGGCATTTTACGAACGGATTGAGGCAGTGTAAAGCCGCCTCCGTAGCCCTGCTTCTGAACAAAGAACGTCAGATTCCCTCAAGGAACGTTGCAAGCTTTTGCATAAGTCTTGCATGAAGTGGAATGGCTCTGTGCGCTGTGTCTATATGGCAAAACCCACAGGTGTGTCGGACGTCGATATAGAAAGGATGGCAACGGGAATTGATAATGGCGTAGCAATGTCTTCCGCCACTGACGAGTGTGAAAGGGTATTCAAATTTTTACAAGTATGACGATTGCTTAAAGGACATCCAAACTACAGTATGTCAACTTTGAGTGGAAACAGTAACCAGAGTACAGTGGGTGGAGGTCGGTATGGTGGTCTTTGTAAAGAAGATGTAGCGTGGAATGCTGACACGGACAACGAGGAGAGCAGCCAGCAGATAGTAAAGAGTGGCATGCAACGCCCAATCGGACGAAAAAGGGCCAAACAAACGGCTAAACTGGAGGATGCACGGCACAAAAATCTGAAAATTGCAGCAGAAGCTGTTTCCCTACAACGAGCTCGGAATAAAACCCTGGAGCGGCACAACGAATTGCTGTTATTTTCAAGCGCTCCGCAGGAATGCAACCGGGCAGAGACGATAGAGTACTACAATTTGCTCCGTGCGGAATCTTTACAGAAGATACGGTCTCGTTTGACCGGGACTGGTGAATCATCGGAAAGCAGAATGCCTACTGCAACGCCAAAGTCTGCTAATGATAGCACAGTGTTCGATTTGGTCAGATCCCTGGGCAATGATACAAGTTCTGGTGGTACGACAAATCTCTAATATTCAAGCTCGTGGCTCCCTGCATGATCGCACAGGTGGTCCATGAGGAGCTTTTTTATATTCAAGTACTCGACAGCATTACTCGTAAAAGCACTTGCAGCGCGAAGTGCCTCAATACTATCGGGAGCTGCAGCTGTCACTACAGTACTATCACTTGAGCTCCCCTACATGGGACTCCGTGGAGGTTGTGAAGGCGGTTGCATCGGACTTCAGTGAGTAGGAGCATGCACTTCACAAGTAGGAGGGTGCGGTTTTTTGCCGGTGGCGTTGACCTGCAGGTCATTGCAGTTCTCGGCGAGGTCTTAAAAAAGCAAAGGTGTGTAATAGTGAGAGGCCAATCAAGGCTCGCCAAGTTTCTAAAATATTTAGCACTTTACACTCGCCGGTGGGGATGCTCTAATCATAGAAATGGTCTTCGACAGACCATTTCTATGATTAGTTCCTAGACGATTAGTCTAGGCACTGCGAAAAGTGTCCACGACACGTGTTCAGCCCTATCAGTTTCATCAGGCGCTGTACACTTGTACACTTGAAATAAATAAATGTTGGGGGAGTCCAATTAGCAGAGCCCCGTACCTTATAAAAAACGTTGTTCCACGCGCCCGGTATTATAAATGATGAAATAGAGGTTCTGAGAGAAGGGGGGGAAGTTCAGTGCGTAAGCTGACAAAAAACTTGGCGTGCCATTGACACTGTGCTCTGTAGATGCCACACAGGACAGATATAATGGTGAGGAGAAGGGATGCTGCATACAGTGTGCGAAACGCAAATAAATACACCCATCGTCGAGCGGGTTTTCGCCAGATGCAGGCCGATAACATAAAGACGCCCACTCTATGACAACGCAAAACACACGACGAGTCCGATTCTGGGCTCAGATTTGCTCAATCATAAACGCATACACAGATATCTTCAAAAAAGTATGCGAAACGCAAATAAATACGCGAAACGCTATAGAGTACAGTAGAAGAAATGTCTTTATTCTAGTATTTTGTTGCTCGCCCTTGTCCATCCAGCACTGCAAGCATACGCCGCGGTATGCTACGATAGAGCTTCTGTAGCAATTCGCCACTAATTGTTGCCCATACATCCTCAATCACCTCCTTAAGCTGCTCTATCGTATCGAACTGACGCTGGCGAAGATAGACGCGACGAGCCATGATTCCCCAAATGTTCTCAATAATATTAAGATCAGGAGACTTTGCGGGCCAGTCCATAGTTCTCACACCCTTCTAATTGAGCCAAGAGCGCGTGAATCTCGACCTATGAATAGAAGCTCCATCTTGCTGGTAAACTCAGTTCTCCATTTCCCCATACATCTCTGCGGCAAAAGGCAGTAGGGCCTTGTCCAGGGTTTCGCAGTACTTACCCGAATTTTGATTTCCATTTAAAAACACCAAAAAAGATACCCCGTAAGGAGAAATGGCTCCCCAAACCATAACTGTAGCTCCTCCATTTTGCCTCTTAGAAAAAAACCTTTCATCTTTGCGCAAATCATGCCAATAGCAGGCATTTCCATCCGGTCCGTCGAGGTTGAACTTTTTCTCATCGCTGAAGATGACTTTGTTCCAAAAAAAGTCCCCCTTGCTTATAAAACGGCGCACCCATTTGACCCTTTTTTCGCGGTGCGGAGAAGTCATCATTGGGGCGGTCTTCATTTTTCTATACTTTAGATGTGGCGTTGCCCTTAGAATTTGTTGAATTCTGCGGACTCCTACCGGCAAGTTGAGGTCTTGTTTTATGTCTCGAGCTGAATAGTTTCCTGTGGTTTTCTTTCGAATCATAGCCTTTTCTTCCCGGACAGTCAACTTTTGACCAGTTACATGCGCCCGAGACCGTGCAGTGCGACTGGGATTCTTTAAAATGCGCTGCACAGATCCTACGGACCTTCCCAATTCTTTCGATATGTCCCGTAAGGACATAAGCTGATGATGCAGGGCAAGGATCTGGCCCTTCTCGAGGTCGGTGAGCGGCGGGCCTCTTGGCATTTTTAGTGCTAGTTGATAGTGGACGATGAGGTAGGAAGACGTCAAGTGCCAGTCGGTATAGTACTGTGTCCTTTATTGTTTTGAAATGAAGACTACACGCCAGTTGCCCGCACTTTTCGATACTGTATTCTATGGCGTTTCGCGTTTTTATTTGCGTTTCGCATGCGTTTTTATATATAGCGGTCGATGCGTTTATAATTGAGCCAATCTGAGCCCAGAATCGGACTCGTCGTGTGTTTTGCGTTGTCATGGAGTGGGCGCTTTTATGTTTTCCGCCTGCAAATGGCGAAAACCCACTCGACGATGGGTGTATTTATTTGCGTTTCGCACACTGTAGGTGCCGGCCAATGGGGAGGGGTGGGCGGCCTTGGTGAAGACAGCGGGGCGCATGCGGATGGACAACCGAGTGCCCGGCCTTGGTGAAAATTCACATAGTAGAACTGGTTTGTGAACATTCACATAGTACAATTGATTTGTGAAGTTTCACAAAACACCCTGCTTTTGTGAACATTTACACGGTAGGATTGCTTTGCGAAGATTCACAAAAGACCGTGCTTTTGTGGAAGTGCACATAGTAGAATTGTTTTGGGAAGATTCACAGAACAACATGCCTTTGTGAAAATTCACGTAGTAGAATTGGTTTGTGAAGTTTCACATATCACCCTGCTCTTGTGAACATAGACATGGTAGGATTGTTTTGTGAAGATTCACAAAACACCATGGTTTTGTGAACATTCACATAGTAGAAGTGGTTTGTGGAGTTTTACAAAACGCGTTTCATAGTCTGGATCTGGCCGCCACCCTTGATGATATCAGGATATCCAACCGCCGTCTGATACATATTTCTGCGAGCAAACAAGGTCGGAGGGTTCATTTTCGAAGATAACCCAACATTACTGATGAATCCCTTAAAGAAAAGTTGTAGCTATTACTGATGGGCTTGATCTCCCCGTGTACAACGATAGCGTTCGTCTACTGCGATGCCCACACTGTCAAACGACGATGGACTGTTGGGGAGACCATGCGTCACATTGATGCCCTTCAAGCGCATCAGCAGTAGTTTACGATGGCCGAGAGCATCAACTTTATGTGTGGGTGGCAGACTTCCAACCGTGAGCATCCTGGAATTATAACTACGCGAAGTTCGCAGCCATCTCAGAAACAGTGTCATACGTCGATAGGGTTTTATATCCATGATGGCTTAAAGATCGTTTGATATACTTCAGTCCCTTGATTCAATGTCTGTATCAATATTTTCTCAGTACTTTGCTGCCAGAAGAGGCGATAAATATCCAACAGTCATTCCGGTAGTCGCCAGACTCGTTGCTGCTCCATTGAGCCGTGATCCCCTGAACCTTATAAGTCGTCGATGCAAAAGCAGGAACGAATGGCATCTGGGTCATGCTCAAACTTGTGCCACAGCCAAGTCGCCGCCTTCGCCGTAACTTTAAGGTCGCTGTTTCCAATTTTTGTGTCGTGATGGGCACAGTATTCATGGGATATGACTCTGGAACAGTCCGAAAACGATTCATTACAGTTCTGTGGAAGATTTCGGAGCGAATGTATGCGACAATGGGCAACTTGCTCGCCACGAGGCAATTGACTCCGAAAAATGTTGCCGGATCGAAAGTAGTGTTAGACGGAAAGTTGACGCCGCAGAGTTCTCCGTCCGTACCATTAGCTATTCCGATTTCCACGGCAACATTCTGCGTAATTCTGACTGGCATGCCTACTAAGAGTGGCAGAAGTACAGGTAAGTTGTTTGTCTCCGTTTCACCCGTCCGCAACAAAATGTCAAGGTCTTTATCCGAAAGCCTCCCATGGCCCCGTGTCGTGACTCTTGCCACACAAACAATGGGCGTCACCCCATTTAATTCACTGCACTTCCCTATAGCATTCCAGTTCAGCGCCTGGCGGAGTTCATTGGTCCGCACAACAAACGGAACCTGTCCGGAGCAACAATTCTGCAGTTGCTTTTGTAGTTCGCAACTGACAACTCTTGAGTTCAGTAGTTTGAGGTCTCCCTCTTTCGTCCTGCCCTGTCGCACCCGCCCAAGGAGGTCGCCATATTCAAGGTCTTGCTTGTGTCGCATGCTTTCTTCCAATATGATTACAACGTCAAGCTCCTGCCATAACTGGTACCCCATTGCGTCAAGGGTTGAATTTTGTCCCATATGTGTGTCCGGTCTCACAAACAAAGGCTCGTTTACAACTGGAGGGATTTGGAAGAAGTCTCCGCAAAACAACACACTGACACCTCCAAATCTTACATCCTCTTCCTTAACTTGCCGTAAAACATATCTATTGAGGCTAGCGTTCGCCGGCTGACCATGGATACCTCATCCAAGATCAATAACAATGTCTCCGAGTGCTCTTCGAGCAGCCTAGGCGCTACTTTTCTTTTCGTATCAAAAGTGGATCCAGGTCGTAATCCAAGCATCGAGTGCCCGGTCTGCCCACGCACAAGTGAGGCTGCAATACGCGTCGGTGCGCAAGTGCGAATAGCCCTTGGCCTACACCATGCCTTTGCGAGGTACTGCAAGGCCTCTATGACACGTGTTTTGCCTGTTCCTCCCTCGCCGCCGAGGCACATGGTCGAGAATTTACGTATTGCCCTTCCCGAACCCGAACATTTATATCCGTCAGCCATCTTGGGCAGCAGTTCTTCTGCCACAAGTATGAAAGCTTTCCGTTGCAACACATTTAGCGTGAACTTGTCTGCTACCAGACCGGGAGCTGGAAAATGCTTTCACTCATTCCGAGGAAGTTCAAAATATGTCGCATCACCACCGCTCTTTGACAGAGCGTCTTTCAAGAACATGATGACGGTTTCTTCATATTCTCTGTGCTTCTTCTGACAACGCCCCCCAAGTTTTGGAGGGATAGTGCATTCTCCACGCGCCTGCTGGCGCATCACTTTTATGTCATTCTTTATGTCGTTTCTTGAAACTTCGCACATATCGATCTTCTTTTCCCCTGGCATGGCTTTGTCGATATGACTCGTCTTACATCCAGGCCAATACAAACAAAACCACGCAGCAGGGCATGAGGTGGGGCACAGGTCGCGATGCATAGCTGTGTGGATATACTGTCTATTTCTCTTTTTGATTCTGCCGCGGGGTTTCCATCAACCCCCTTCAAGGCTACATGCCGAATATCAATACCTGCGGAACCTGTATTCTAGGGTCTTCGTTTTCTGAGGCACATTCTGGGAAGTCGTCATCTGCATGGGGACGTTTGCTCGACAACACGTCAAATTCCACGTACTGTCGATGAGCATTTTTGTTTGACTCACGTTCCTGAGCTGCCATTTTCTTCGAGTTGTAGTACCCTTGATAATTTCCCAGAAACTCTGCACTACTCTGGTTAATCTCACCAGACGCCTCGAAGTTCAAGAAAGCGTCCCAGAAACTCTCTCCCTCTTGTCTCACTTTTTTCTGGATGTGGAACGGAACACATAATAGGAGGGCCATCAGCCCGATTTTCTCCTTATCAACTTCCGCATCTAGCTCTTCCCTATCTGGTAATCGCGAGCCGATGATATCAGGGATAACTATTGTACTCCTCTCTCACAACCCATGACTCTCGCGCAACGGGTGCCCGTCAACAAAGAGCATTGAGTTATGTCCAGTAAGATTTTTCCCTGCAAGAGCTGTTTTTGTTAATGGGGGCCGAACATACTTTGACACATACTCTACCAATGTCAAGTTGAGTAGTTCTTTCGGCCTATACCAATAATCCACGTGTTGACAAGCTCGTACAATCCGTCCATCGCTTCTGGGCAGTAATTCCGCCTCGTGCTCCTCTTCTCTGGTAATAGCCATGCTCTGTGTTAGGAGCAGAGCTGCAAAGTCGTGTGAAGAGTACAGGGCGCTCTTCCGCCTTAGGTAGAGGGCACAAATACGAGCACCTATCTGCTGCTTTCTTGATAATGAAATTGCCATGGAGTTCACGCGGGAGCGCCCGGCTGCAACGTTTGTTATTGGTAATCCGGCAGCCATCTTCTCGTTCTCCGCTTTGCCTCGCCTTTCGAAAGATTCCATTAGAACCCTTTCCGTCTGACCATCCTCCACCGGAACTTTAGTAACATATTTTATCACGTAGTACATGGCATCTGTGGTACCACCTACCAGGAATCGGATGTCGTGGTTCGTGGCGAAGAGCAGGCTTATCACATAGTTAAAACTGTTTAGGTATTCATTGTGGTGGTTTCGTCTCACAACAAGACGGGAGTTGGATTCCAGGTGTGTTGTCAAGCCCCCTTTCCTCGGAAACGAGAACGGACATTCACCATTCTTCGATGCCATGCTAGCCTTGAAACATGAATCGAGGTGTCTATGATTGTGTTGTTGTGTTAAAAGCACTGCCTGGCACAATCTCAAGCGGTTTTGTCTTCCAACGACACTGTTGTTCGTTTCTCCAGCCGGGGCCATATGTGGGTACCCACATATGGCACAAGCACATTTTCTTAAACCCAACACGTGTTAGGTTTAAGAAAATGTGCTTCAGCGAGCAAGTCTGATCCCCTATATGTCTCTGCGAGTGGAATTCTTCGGTCCACTGATCCTACGTGCCCGTCTAGAGAATGGTATAGCTGCTTCACTTCTGATCGTAGCACCTCTGAAGCCCCAAACGTTGCGAGGCATTTGAAGCAAGATGATGTTGCCACTGGCTTTGCCTTCCCCGGCCTTTGACTTTTGTGTGCAGTTGCATCCACAACCTCCATCGACTGCAGACTCCCTTTTGTGCGGCATGAAGGACATCGTGGTGCGTCGATCTCCTTCGGACTACAAGGAACTGTGCTACAAACGACACTGTCCACAAGCTGACAAATCCGTTCTTTGAAATGATCACCATTCACCACATCTCCGCATTTAGAAGCGAATTCCTCTACGGTTCTTGGCGGTCCAGCAATGAACAATATGGCATGCATGTGCAGTGTTCCAGACTTCTGTGCCTCTACAAAACCTATGAATGCCCTAACATATCCAAGAAGACCACCACGGGCATAAGGCAATCCAGTTCGTCTGTTGAAGCCAACTATGTCCTTCAGATGTTAGGCTTTCATGGTTGGAACCTTCCTGATTTCGATCGCCAATTGAAGAACTGTCTAGAACCTCAGGGAAGTCTTGAGAAAACGGAACATCATCTTCATCTGAAGGTTCTGGGTCAAACAAAATGGGAATAGGCCGCAGTGATGCCTCTACGCGCACGCATCGTCGCTGAGATCGGCGAGGTAAACTCATATTATCCTGAAATTGATTTGACATGTCATTCTGATTACTGCATTCACCCCTTTGCATTCACCCCTTTACGTTGAAGTCGTTTTAATGCCGGACGCACTCGGTAAAGTTGTTCTGCGGAACTGTACGTCGGCTGTTGTGTAGTTTTCTCGATCTAGAGAGCCGGTTGCAGATATTGGCTGCACAGATATGATTCTTGGTAACAAATCTGCATTGTTGTTGTGCTCTTCTTGGTCACGACGTAAAAACGTAGTGCCATTGGTGTCGGACTATTGATACCAGCTCCTGTATTGCCATATCTCTGCAAGGGAGGACAATTCGGGAGCGAACAGTTCCTGACTGGAGAGGAAGGGATGCTAGATGACGACATAGCATTGGAATTAACGGAATGTTTTGCAGGGATCGGGGGATCGGCTTGGATAATGGCAAGGTCGATGGTGCTGGGCGAAGCGTGAGTGTCAAATGAGCTCTCAAAGTCATGCCCGTCATCTACAGAGACAGGCGCTCGCTTCATTAGGGGACGAATGAAAGGGTTTATCCCGCAATGGGCACAAGATGTGACGAGCGAAGTCGCGCGAGTCGTCGGTGACTTAAGTAAAGGTGGAGATGAGAAAAGTTGACATCACCGGCGGCGTTCTCCAATCACTGGTGATCTCTCATATTTTATCACGAAATTTTGGTGAACAAATTTTATCACTTTGGCATCAGCGGGATAGGGGATTGGCGCGGGAAGGCGTGAAACGTGTACAAGTACTACCAGCGTTCTGGATGGCGGACCAGAAGTCCTCGACTGCTCCCCGAAGTTCAGGGCCCGAACCTCGAGTGCTCCCTCGGACGTGTATCCTGTTGGCTGCTGACCGGGTTGCTGTCGTGGCAGCATTGTTCGCAAAGCATTTGCAAGGCACTTGCATGGCATTTGCACGCCGATCGTTGACGTCAATGCGTCACCTCTAAGCAGTGCGGTCGACGTGTCGACATGTCCAAGTCCTTGTAAACATGGATCATGTGATCAGCGGTGAACAGCTGATAAATCACTGCTCTCTTACAAATTCGCAATGCAGCACCTACAAGAGGAAAGACTCTCGCGAATTCAGACCTCTAAAAATAAACCTTGCTTGCAGTTGCGTGCGCATCCAGTTCCTCCTTGCACTTTTCCACCCCTCATGGTTACCGCCTTGGGAGTCCAAACTTCGGATATCCAACAGCCAATCCATTTCACGAAATGGCCCTGACAAAGAATTCCCCCCTCCACATGCAAAGTACTGTAACAACTTTTATCTCGCAAATCGCTTCCTTGTTGTACACTCAAAGAGCGGTGGAAAAGTCTGCGGTACCTACCGTATGATCGATGCAATCATTGTCAGGAGTTGCAATGCGCACATCCGTGTTGCTATCCCGCGCATTCATTTTCGAGGCAGTGGTATGCGAGGCGCATCTGTCCAAATCGACAACGTTTCAGTCCAAGCTAGCATCAATCTGCCTCGCCACAAACACGCCGCGGCAAACATCCAAAACGCGAAAGAAGCCCTTTCTTACGTCGAAACTTTGTCTTTCTAACGGAGCCGGCCTGTGTAATCGAAAAGCTCGAAAGGTGAAAAGTAAGAAGTTTTTTAATTGGCTGTGCCTCGAAGGCCTTGCGACATACCCCCACAAAGCCTGGTGCCTCTATAAATACACAGTTACTGATAAGTAAAACTGTCGGTGAGACCGGAATCCTCAACCCACACCGATGTCACGAAGGCACCAGCCATACTAGTTATAACCTATAAGCAAATTCGGGAACTTGGATATTACAAACAACCAACCCCTTACAACATATTTTCCTTGTCGTTGACTTCCTTGTCGGCGATGTTAACGAAATACGGTCCCAAGAAAACGACCATAAACACCAGCCCATTGTGCAGGGCAACACTACCCGCGGGAGGCGGACTTTCGGGAGACCCGAGCTTGCCGAATTGCGCCATTCCAAAGTTGAGGAACGCGAACACGTACACGAGGGCCACAGTGACAAAGTAAAACTTCGGTACTCCCTTTCCTGCTCCGGCAATCAAAATACCCATCACACCAAGCGCGATCATCAACACGCCAGCGGTAATGGTCATGCCGGGGAGCCTTCCAACGTTCGGCGGCGAGATGTAGGGCATCTCGAGCGTCCCTCCGCTAATCTTGGCGGCGATGAAAGCGCCCGTGATGAGCGTCCACACACCTGACATGGCGAGGTTTGCGTTCCAGAAGACGGCGCGCATGGTGGCGCCCGTGCGCTGCTTCAAAAAGTCGGTGTCCGTGGCGGCGGCAACCAGGCGGGCCATGAAAACGAATTGGCCGCCCTGCAGGGCGAGACAGAAGTGGAACGAGGTCAAGATACCCAGGGCAATAACGAAGCGGTTCTCGCCTACTGTGAGGTCGTCCCTGAACATTCCTTTGTCTACCGCGCGGTAGATGGGAAGGATGAAAACGAAGACGATGAAGACAAAGTAGCCCAGCAGGGTCTGGATAAGCATGACTAGTTTGGTTGCTCCGGCGTTGTGGGCACGCAAAAGGAAGGCAGAAAGACCGACGAAAAGGCCGAGCAGGCCGAAGACGACCTCGGAGAGAGATCCCAGGAAGCCAAGGAGCTTGGGCGGACGACCGCCGGTGATGCCTTGGGAGGGGTTTTCGGAGATGAAACGAATGGAACCTTCGTTGATAACGAGGATGGACCAGAGGGCGAGAAGGGCAGCGGCCTCGATGATGGCATAGTTCTTCTTGTATGTGTCCGCGATGGTCTTGGTGAAAGAGTCCTTGCCAGACTCGACGTCGACGACTTCAGCGTGGGCGCTCATGATGGGAATGGCGAGTGACAGGGGAGAGCAAAGAGGGAAGTGAGAAGAAGTGGGAGGGTGCGGAGGTGGGGAGATGGGGAGGTGGGATGAGTGCTGATGGAAAGGTTGAGAGGCTTGCGGCGGTGGGGTTTTATAGCGGGGGGCGGGGCTAAGACGGGTGGCGGTTGGCAGGCAGGCAGGCAGGCAGGCAGGCGTATCCGCGTTGACAGTGAGGAGGAAAGCATTTGTGATTGTTATCGTGTACCAAAGTCGTTGTGTCCGTGAGATGCAGGTGGGGAGTAGAACGAGAGAAACCCGGGGGTCAGAGACAAGTGTGAGACGCAACGGTTGAGAGTGTTGACAAGGGGAAAGTGGGAGGGGGTGGACGATGACGCGTGAATGAGAGTGCCACGGAGAAAAAAGGGGGAGCCGAAGGTAGAAAGCAGATGGCGGTGCACTGTATGACATATTACACGTGGATAGAATTTAAGGGTTTCTGCGAGGTGGTGACGTAGCCAAGGGTACTGTAACGAGGTGGGAATTATTAGTGCGGGGCGTAGAAATCGGTATCGGGGCCACTGGAGCGCTTTTCGCGGCCTCTCCAACGGTCCTCGTCACCGATGCGTATGTAATTTCCTATGTAATGTTTCCTCACCGCCTCCGCGGCGCCACAGCGCTTGCAGGCGGGAGAAAAGACGGCAAGCTGGTTTTTATTTTCTTGCGCGGCACGTAAGCACCCAGTACGTTTGGAAATCATGTCGGCCGGCAGGCAGCCCCCGTCGTGCTGGCGGCACGGTCGAACCGGGGGACAGTGGGGCGTCGTCTCGTGGGCGGGATGTGGAATATTTGCCCTGGGTGCAGTATAATCGCACTTGATACAGATTCCCAATCGCAACCCGTGTGGTGCGGAAAGGGGGCTTGCGGAATCTGTCCCAAGAAGGTTGCAACCTTCTACTACAGGGCCAGTCCTAACAGGCGCTTTTCTTTTCTTTTGTTTTGTGTACTGTTGACGCGCTCGCATTTTTCCACCTGTCCCACCTTTCCCACCTTTTCCTCGTACAGTACCCCGTCACTGCCTTTCCGCCCTCCCAAGCCGCTGTCTGCAGGTGTCGGCAACATTCGTAACGCCGCGGAGCGCCCTCTTCTGGGACGTCCCCCGCGCCGTGCCAGCCCTTGCGACGGCGCCGGTGTCCAGACCCTTCCTTCCGTTCACACAGGTTCACACACACGCCTGGCGCACAGCTCCCGCGTACACTCCCGCGGGGCGCGCGGCAACAAACGCCGCACAGCCCCCGTCCCGCGCGCCCTCGCTGTAACATGTAGGGCTGTGTGCGCCCCGTCGCGCAAGCAGCCACAGCACGAGTACACACTGTAATGTATATATAACGCAGTGCAGTACACTGTACTACATACAGTACCAACGGTATGCTTTATTCTATCCCCTGCGGCGGGCCCGAGCCACGTGTCGCGGCAGGCGCCTGCGTGTACGCCAGCAATGCGCCGCGCTGAACGGCTCTTCCTCCTTACACACACACACACACGCCGCGCCCCGCCCGCGCCAATACTGTACCAATCCAATTCGCCCGCGCGCCGCCCGCACATGGCGGCGCCGGGCTCGCCGTTTCCTTTACCCGCGTGGAAATTCGACGCCCCCGCCTTGGACGTTTCGCCTTCCGACGTTCCCCGCCTGCGAAGCACGGCCCGCCGTCGCGCCGCCGCCTCGCTGTCGACGACGCCCCTCTCCGCGCGGCACGCGTGGCAATCCGGCGGATGCCCGCGCGCATCGCGCGCGGAATGACGCCCGCCGTACGGTGGCCGGCCCGGTCGTGAGTGGCGTGCGCCGCGCCGCGCGTTTCCCGGCACGCATGCCAGGCATGAAGCGCCATGCACGCACCCCCGGCCGAAAGGCACGGCCGGCGCTGGGACCCGCTTCCTCTCTTTTCGACACCTTGCGGCAACACTCTCCGCGCTGGGCTCACCGGCGACCCCAACGGGCTGCACTGGTACATGTAGTGCTCGACGCTGATACTCACTGCGCGCCTTCGCAGAGCCTGCGGCGGATACGCTGCGCATGCGCCTCAACGCCTCTGCACACGTGTATCTAGTAGATACACGTGTGCAGAGCCAATGAAGGTGGAGAGGCCTGTGTAGATAGTACAGTATCTACACAAAACGCAACAAGTAGGCTCACGTTGATATGTGCACTGTACGGTACCAACGGTACCTTCGGAGGTACCACACTAATCGACAAGCAATATGGCTAATCGGACCGGAAAAATATGTATATATATGACAGGAATGGATAACTTTTGTCACTATTCTTGACCATTATCATACGGCCACAGTACCGTACTTGTCGGTCTAAAACCTCGATATAGTCAAAATAGCCTTTTCCCGGAGCTAAACATGACACATCGCCCCAAAAAAAGACAAAAAATCCTACTTTAACCAACAGTATAGACACCCAAAGCTATGTGTGCCCCAATTTCGTTTTGACTGTATACGGCTGAGGTGCAAAACGATGCATCGTTTGGAAAGTGCCATCGGACGAGGCTGGTTGCCGGCTTGATGTCAAGCACTAGGCAACAAGCATATTAGCCCAATGAAGCCTCTAAATCTCAAGAAACACCATGCAAGAGGGAGTACTGTACGCAAAACAGATTTCGACCGTCCCTGTTCACAACAGAAAAAGTCAATTTCACCCGTCTGTTGCCACCAAAATGTACCTGATCGCCCCCCTAAACGCAAAATCTCCCTTCTTCAAACCCTCTAGAAACGTGTTACCCATGTGTGCATTGCACACTTTTGTTATTTCCCTCGACCAAAACTGCCCTTCGTCCCCTATTTCTTCTCAACTGATGCACCAATAATTCAATAACAAAATCAAAAACAAACCACATCACACGGCAATCTCTGCTATACCACTTCGTGAACCCTGCCAAGTAGTTCCAGTATACTTCATAGCCCTTTCACCTTCAACGCTGCGCTGTCTAGACGGCAACCTTTTGGCCTCATATGAGGCCAACTTCTGTTCTTTTTTTTTTTGCAAACACATCCATTGCTTCCCTATCCATTGCTTCCCTACTTTTTACATCTTCAAGTTTGACACTATTGCTATTTATTGTAGTGCACTTCGCCATCTCGCAAAAACACCGCAACTGCACTTCTGAATGCACCGAACACGAAGACTTCAATGGCTTGTAAGCCGCATGTTGCATTTTTAAACTGAGTTTTTGGTTCATAATACTACATAGCGTTGGGTTTCAAGGATGTTCAAAAATGCTTCTTCCCACGCCTTCCCAAAAATTATCGGAACCGACATGCGGTGCTGGAAACGTGCTTCTCACCGAGACCTATCCTTCTGTATCGAACGACTTACTTCCGATGCCTGTATCTTTCCTCTTCTTATCGCCCAAAAACTAGTCAACAATACATACTTGAAAGGCCGCATCATATAATTTCACTTATCATCTACTGTAGTGTCTCTAGACACTACAGTACCGCTCTCTGTTTGTCTTTCGCCACTTCTCCTCCAAAGTATATTCCAATTCTCCCATACAGCGAGTCTCAAATAGTGTTCTGCAATTCAGAGCCGCTGACTATACTGATTTTGTAGTATTCCACTCTGCGCTGCATCTCCCTGTTTGATAATAGAGATAATACATTTCTGCACATGGCTTCAGCTGACAGCGTACGTTCAACCTGCACAGTGATGTTCTTTCTCATTTCCTATACTCAGAAAGTGGTTCATGCGTAAAAAGCGGCTTTCCGAATTCTGTACTCTCTCAGCACATGTAATTGCTTGTTAGTCTTGAACATTTCTAAGATATGTCACCATGTATGCGTGCCAGTATCATGCATACAGGGTGAAACGCAATAGGCACAAGAACTCTTCCAAGTTGATGCAGTATGTGTACTGTAGCTGGTCCGACTTTCTCGAGCTGAACATCAGCACCCTCCCATCACGGCGCGCCTGCGAAAGAACAATGCTCCACACCAATCTCTTGCATGTTGTAGTTGGAACTCAACTCGCGGCTCATTGAGCCCGTTTCGCCTTCAAGAGAAATAGTGTATAAAAGGTACAAGTTGAACATGTTGAAAAGTGGTTTTACGGAACGTCACTTGTCATTTAACAAGCAGAGACAGTTCCACAACCGCTAAACATGCAACTGCTTTCAAAAATGCTTTCAACGCGTTTATATACCTCTTGCTTGCCGTTGAGAGTTGAAGCAGATTTATTCTGGTACAGTACTCGGCGCAGTCGACAAGGCTTGATTTGGCGAATATGAGATGTGATTGTTTGCACCGAGCCCCGTCTACACATGTCTACCATGCCTATAAAAGAAAGAGAGTTTTTCTTTTTCCACGTGGCACGCAATTGAGATGATACTTTGAGCTGCGCTATCAGAATGTAAGAATCTCGAGTGCCCAAAGGGAACGGGGAAAGCTTTCTCCAATGCGCGAAGCATGCAATCAAACCAATGACATCGGACCCATATCGCTCGGGTCGCAGATTTGTCATCATGTCTGCCATTGATGGATCCCTGTGCGGCATAGTATCGTCATACGTAAGGTTGAGCGACAGTGTGCTGTTCTGGTTCTGCGTCGATCCCCGTTCGCTGGCTGCTTGGAGGTGCATATTGGCCTTTTACCAGAATGGTGCAGTATGGTGGTACAGTATGCAACTTGTTCTTCATCCTGCAATCGGTCTTGCCTTCACTGTACCGCAGGTCACTCTTGCTTCCATTTAAACGAGGTATTCTATTTTTGGCATGTAGAGAAAGAAGAGTAATGGGCGTGTACGGCGCACACCGTGTAACTGGTTATATGTACAGTTTTGTTTTGTACATTGGGGTACAATGTACGGCGTATCGAGTTCATGTATATTTATTGTCAGCATTTCAGTGCAAACAAGAGCGATCGGACTGCCACCGTCCGTAACCCTAAGCGTCGGTATAATCAGGCCCCTCGCAAGATGGAAAATCTGAGATTTGAAGATCACTCTGCAGGACAGTACGGTATGTACTGTGTGCATTTACCAGTCCAATAAAGTTGGTACGCTTCATAACGTGCGCGTTTCAATGGACGCACACTGGTGCGACCCTGAGATCGCTCCTGATATAGACAGACAAAGAGAGCCCTATCAAGCGAGGCTGTTTGTGATCTACAGTACGGTAGGTCTATATTGTCTCTGCTGACCTCTGCTTGCCTCTCTAGAAACCCTACGCATAAACGCTTTACCTGACAAATCTCCGTCTAGGTGTTGTGATGTAGAGGTGACATTGGCTGTTCATTGCTCACACATACATTGGACATCATCTACTGTACGAACATTCGCCGTGATGCGTACAATTTTTCATTTCTAACATGCGAACTCACTTTCATCCACGTCTGAGGGGAATCTGCCTCGGAGCGGATGTCCATTTTAAAGTGCCCCCTTCCATCTGGTTGGAGCACAAGATTATTGC